TTGGGGGGGGGGGGGGGGGTTTTTGCATTTCTTACGTGTATTTCCTTTGAAGTTCGGTACTTCCTTCCCACCGCAACAAAACATGCCGGGGAAGACAAATTACTACGACGGGAACTTCAAACGCACCCTTCACTCGTGGATGTGGGTTACCCCCTTCCGGGACAAGGCAGGGGCAGTCCCACTTTTTTCACTTGGTGTTAACAAGGACGAAAAACCCCCCCCCCCCCCCTTTGCCCAGAGCCTGGTCCGGTGAGAACCCGGCGTGCTCCGTCCCGGATTTGTAGGGATGCGAGGTCAATGGTCTAACGACTACGGCATGCACAACTATGGGAACACCCCCCGCCCGCCCCACTCTCCCTTTGCCCACCTGGCTCTCCTTCACTCCCGGGAAGAGAAGTGTCGAGTGAAGCCACTGCTGCAGCAGCACTCGCGCACGTTCCAGCTTTTTTTTTTATTGTTCCGAGAAAAAAGGAAGGCAGGGCAGGAAAAGAAGAAGTGCGGGGAAAAAAAAGGCAGGCGGGGGGAAAAAGAGAACAGAAAAAAAGAAGAGACCACCGGACGGAAGAGGTTAGCAGGTTCTGGTGGCAACTCTAGCCGACCCCCAACAAAGAAGCAGCAGCGAAAGGCAAAAAAAAAGAGTACGGATGTTGGCATCGAAAACACGAGGAGATACGGAACTTCAGCGTTTCTAAAGGACTATTTCCAGAGGAAGGATTATTTGCGCCTGTTACTGCGATGACTCCGGTAAATACATAGCATACCTCCACGGCGGGTTCAATCGATCCAGATAAAATCGCTTCCGAAAACATGAACGAACGATCGGTTGCGCGTCGACCAGGCGATTATCAAGAAAACCATCTCCTCCTCTGCTAGCACCTTTTCCGCGTTAGAGGGTGAGCAGAGTTAGCAACAGTTTCTATATCGCGTACCCGTGTTGGAAATTGCTTCGTGATGGTGGCCTTTGCCAGCCAAGATTTCGGCCCAAAACTCAAAATCAAATCCAACGTGTCGCTGATTGGACAACACGTCAGTGTTCTACCGCCGGCTTTTTGGACGGTGGGGTTTGTGTTCCGATAACCTATCGAAATCGTAAAATCAAAAGCGAGCACAAATAGACTCCAAAACCCAAGCATGCTAACCGCAGCTTCAAGCTGCTTGCCACACCCTCACAAAATCGTACCGCATGCCTTCTTTTCGATACTCGTCTATAGCCACCTACAGGCTGCTTGGCGATGCAAGCGATGCGTACAAGAAAGCTGACACCCAGCAGAGCACGGTACAAGTTCTTCGAGCGAGATCAATAATACTTTACCTCGGGATCGAGAGAGAGAGAGAGTCATTGTTCGCTGTCTTGGATGCCGTGTGGCTCTCATGGTCATGGTTCGAGTAGTCGCAAGAAGGGTAATTTCGGGGCCGTTTTCACGTCGTCCGGATTGATGTCTGGTAACGATTCCCCGCCTGAGCTGTGCACGTAGAGCAAACCCGAAATCGAAAATCAAAATCCGGTCTTGGTTTCGATTTCCGGACGCCATGTGTTCTTGACAAGGGCCACCCCGACTTGACTTTGAATGAAATCATTACCATGAGGGGTGTCGGTATTGACCAGACCGGTATACCGGCACCATTTAGCGTACAGAAAATGACTTGGTTATTCCGTCTATGCCCGCCGAAAACACCGGTACTACACCGGACATTTGGGCCTACTCAACCGGCACTATTGAGGGCCACCCACTGTAAGTGCAGGTTCCGTTCCGTGCAGGCACAGAGAGTCCTGCACACAGGCACACTGACGGAGAAAAAAAACTTCAGCAGCAGTAACAGTAGTAGTAACGACGACAACGGACGTTTGTGTGCCACAGCCCGAGTCCACTGGTGAACGTTCAACGGACAAGAAAAACAGAATGTTAACCGCGCAGCAACCACGTCGGTCTCGCCCTACACTGCTTCTGCTCTGTGTCTCTTATCTGTCTGTCTGTCTGTCTGTCTGCCTGCCTGCCTGCCTGCCTGCCTTCCTGTCTGTCTGTTTGCCTTCAGTCTCCCTCTCCCAGTCGGTGTTTGTCTCTCTTCTGTTCGCCCTCTTTGCTCTGTCTCTCTGTCTCTGTTGATCTGTGTATATGCTGATGGTGCAACAAAACGAAAAATGCCGGGCCTGTTGTTACTCGTTTGGAAAAAGGCTAGAATACCGAATGCGAGTAGGAGTCTATTTGGTGTATCGAGTGAATGCGCACAGCTTGTGCCTTACGCCTCCTTGGCTTCCAATGACACCTTACCTTAGCCCGTGTTTTTTCTCCCTAGAAAAATGAAAACGCAGGCCACCCATCCGTGGAATGAACTAGAAAAAGATGCCCGAATTTATTTGTGTCCACAATACTGATTTGTGTTCACAAAACCGAAAAAAATAAACAACCAGAAACAATGCGCCACGTTGTATTTGAACACAACGACAACAGCGCCACCAACTGCTTACTACCACGACTATCGCTGTTGGGCGTGCGGCATGGAGCCGGATTGGTGGACACCCTGAATGTGGAGAAGGGTCCACCTTATAACCCATACTCAACCTAGTAAAAACAAACCGCTGTGCCCCGCGTCCTATGGCCGTGCCTCCTCACGCGCAGCAAACGCCCTCGACATTTGATTGAGGGGAACTCACCGCCGGGGGTGGGAGAGGTTACTAAAAATGACCAGCGTTCGCGAGGCAGGCAAAGGAGGCGCACGCTGTACGGCCAATACCACAACAGCAAAGCGTTGGCGAAAAATCAGGGAAGCAGGGGTACTGCAGCAGCACCGCGGTGCGGCAAAAAAGAGCTCACGCGGACGCTAGTGGCATACAGCGGTGACACCACATCATCATGACCGACAAAAAAAAAAAAATCCACCGCATCTCCCAAATCTCCCACCTGGTCGTCTGATCCCATCAGCATCTCGTCCGTCATGTGCGGGCATCCGGGCAACCCCCCCGCCCCCCCGACCGTGTTCCCGAGGTGCTCCCCCAGGCTGCGGAAGCTGGAGAACCTCCGGTATACGGTCCAACTAAAAACAGAACAAGCCCCAGCGTAATATCGGCAAGACATCGTTCATAGGTTCATAGAGACCGGGAGCGTGCAGGTGAACCGACAACGGGGGGTAGGGGGTGGCGGCGGCAGTTGGGATTTTGGGGTTTTTATTTGGTCTATATAGATAAGTACACGGGGGTGTGGGGTGTGGGGGGGTGGCGGCAGTTGGGATTTTGGGGAAGTGGTTTCATTCGGTTTAGCAAGATAAGAAAAAACGGTTATAAACCCGTCCACAAGCAGCACTGGATTACCGAGTGGAAAAATGGTACAATAGGCACGCACACGAAAAAATGCGTCAATACGTTCGGACTCGAAGTATGCGTTTCCCCATATCGGCGCCCATCTACACGGTTGGTAGATGCGATTGACGCACTAGCCCGGGTATACGCATGCAGGAGGGAAAACACGCACGAGCGAGTCTTTGGTCTTCGTATCTCGCCGACGTTTTCCTCCTGCGGTGCTTGCCTTCAATTTCTCAATCGACAAGTCCCATTCCGTGTGTACTCAAAGACCATGTTACGTACGCGCTTTCCCACTACCGGGGGGGCAGAACGCAGAATCGCAGTTTAAGATCTGGGGGGGGGGTCGAAATCGCACGTGTACCACATCCGGAAAGGATCGAACCCACAAAATCGGGACAAACAAGGTTCACGAGGATACTGCACCAGCGGCGCATTAAAATGGGCAAAGCACTGACAAATGCCTTCGGCTGGTGCACCACACCCAATGAAGAAGCCCCGGTACAGAACGGGGCCGCGGAAAAACCAAAAAACCCGTTCAAGGCCACAAGTGTTGACGAAAAAAAACCAAAAACAGGTACTTTCTGACGCTATGAATCCATTGCTAATCTGTCTCAGACTCTTTTCTATGATAGAGATGGTTTCGTTGTGTCATATTAAGAAAAAAAAAAAAAAAACAGGGCTTGAGAGGAAACACAGTTATTTAGCTCAGCGGCGAATATCACACTTCAACTCTACACTTTAGTTTCCAATAACCTGTGCGTGACGGATGATGGCGACGAAACAAAACATTTGATCCACGACCCGACATTTTGTTACATTTTTGATTTCCGGGTCTGTTCCATACATGGAATGATGATGGAAAGAAATGCTACATGCGCCTAGAATTAAAAAATATGGCAAAAAACCCTCCAGTGCACATAACACGCCAAGAGGCAGGTAGACTCCCAATTTAGCATACAGTGGCCACAGCCAATCTCTGTCGGGACTTCCGAAAGGGCTAGCTGAGACGTTGGTGAACTGATCGCAACAGGGCATCGCTTTCATTCCCGCGAGACCTTCCGTTCGCAACTAACCTTGGGCTGCAACGGCAAGTCTTTTTTCGTTTAACGCTGCCTCGCACGAGAGGACTGGCATCACATACCGGTATGCATAAGCACCGAACACGCCGTCGGGGTTTTTCATTACTACAATTACTATTTTTTTCACGCCGTCGGGGTTTTTCATTACTACAATTACTATTTTTTTTCTTTTTCTTGGTGAATGACACAACAAATTCATCTCGTACGTGGAATCAATAGTAATACTGTAGTCTGCGACAGATTAGATTAGCAACGAATGAATTTCGTATGTACCACAACAACAGCGTTAAGCGGAAGCTTTTGTGCGCTGATTGCAGTCACGCTGATTGCAGTCAAATTGTCCGAGCGGCCCATGCCCGACCAAACACCATAAAATTTGCCGACATGGCCAAATCAACCCACCGCAGACACGAGTCGTCTAAAAGGCCCCGCCCCTTGATATCTAGCTCTACCAGCTCCTCTCCACAACAAGCACATCAGGCCACGAGATCTCGGGCGACCGGGGGGAGGGGGTACGTCCGCCCACTCCCGAAACCCTTGTACCAACGCATTTTGTACCCTCTGAAAATATACGGGTGCGAAAACAAATGCCCGCAGGCTTGTAAGGCAAGTCGAAGAAACAATCAGGAAGAAGTCACTCACTACCATCAACCAACACGCCCACTGCGCTGGTTTTTATATTGTAGTCCGCCAACTCGACGACCTCCTCGTCATCGGTCCGGTTTTCTGGTTGACAGCACCGACGCGTGCTGAGGTTCATGTCGACCGTAAGGTTCATGTGTCGCGTCGTGTCGTGATGATTCTCACAAAAGTGGCCGCGTGCGTGACGCTTCAGTCAGATGATGCTGTTCACACAGAAATCAGCGGGAGTAACTCGACAGAGTGGTTCGGACAGCCCTTCTGACACCGGCATCCTCGTGTGCGATACCAAAACCTTCACGTCACCCCACACATGAGAGCCAAAATAAGCTGCGCTGATCTGTCGCTTGATGGAGTAAGACCTCAATTGATACTCACGCGTGATATGAATACTTTATTTTTCTCGTTCTTGGTCCAACAAGACAACATAATCACCTTCACCCGTGGAGGAAGATGTCCACCAGCCGAGATTCGTGATAGATGAAAGGATGAAAGGATACCAGCACTAAATAGTGTTGCGTGACCTATAATACTGACCTACATACCGTATATGACACAAGATAACACACCCCCTGGACCGATTTTCAAAGCTCGATTACTCCACGACGAAGAGGATGCATAAATGAAACAATACGTTTTCGAACAGCTCTCGACGAGACGGTTCCAACGCCGCCGTTTTCGGCGCTGTGACTCTTCCTGCTGTTGAGAAATCGAGCTTTGAAAATCGGCCAAGGGGGTGTGTTATCTTGTGTCATATACGGTACATAGCAACGCGGCTAAATGCGCCGAAGAAAGAAAGAAAAAAAATGCGGTCCTCTGTTGGGTGACTTTGAAATTTCACTCCTGCACTACATTTTGCAAATGAATTCGTTGGCCTGCGACGACACGGCACGAAGGCGCTGGCGTCCGTCGGACTGGGACGGAAAAGGGTACTGAGCAGACACAGGGTTTTATAGTTGGCCGGTCGCCCCGGTGGTCTAGGTGGTATCCTCGAAACCTCCTAGAGGTCAGCTCAGGGGTTCGAATCCCGGCGTTAGCGAGCTTTTCTTGCAAAGGGAGTTTTTCTCTCGCTTCCGCTCCTGGCCTAGTGGATAGCGCTAGTTCGTGTGTACACAGAGGGAAGAGAGTGCTGAACTCTTCTCGCATTAAAAATCGAAGGCAAAGTACCGCAGGAGGGGAGGGTAGAGAGGGGCTCTTTTGTGTGACCACGGGTTGGAGCAAACGGCACTAGTGCTGCGAGCGCTGATTTGAAGTCAAGACAAAAAAAAAAAAAAGTGTGAAGGCCGCATCATAACCGGCTGCGATAAGAATATCTACATACAGCTATGTAGCATGTTGCCATGTAGCCGTTGTGGGCGGTAGGTCAGTTGGACTCGGATGGAAAAGGGTATTGAGCAGACGGCGGTTTCATATTTAGTGTGAAGACAACAACAACAACAAAAACCAGCTGCGATAAGAAAATCTACATCATGTGCTACAAGCTGTGTGTAGCATGATGCTAATGTAGCCGTTGTGGGCGGTGGGCGGTCCGCCTAAGGAAGAAAGGGACGCGTATTGTATGCATGCGAGCAGGCCACCGAGGAGAAATTCCGTGTGAAAACGGAGACAATAGCAGATGCCGGCACAAATTAGTGCTGCACACCCGGATTCATTCATTACATGATCACCCTTCTTTGCCTATGGCACAAGTGCTTCATGTGCGTGCCTAAATAGTTTTTTTCGCGTGGCGGAGTCGGGCGGCCCTGCGATTTGGTGTACATCTATGCTCTGCACACAGAGAAGAAAGTCTGCCCGTCCAGCATCCACACGATACGGAAATACAATACGCTACCACAGCAGCAGTTGGCAGAAAGATGCATACGTATGCTATAATACACGAAAAAAATTGAACGCGTGTGGGTCATGTGCTATCTGCAAGCAGGTGCGTGTCACTGCCTGTACAGCATCTGGTCTGCTGTGTATCTGTGTATCTGCCGTGTGATCTGTACAAGTATTCTACTTCCCCCTCGAGCATACAAAAAAAAAAAAAGTGGAACTGAGGTCGAAAAAGCAAATATGCTGTCTGTGAAACCGTAGACATACACAGGTACTTTCTAACGCTATGAATTCATTGCTAATCTGTCTCAGACTCTTTTCTATGATACGATTGTAGAGATGGATTCGTTGTGTCATAGTAAGAAAAAAAAAAAAAAGCAAATATGCGATGATTGAAGATTATCGGAATTTCGCGCTACAGTAGCGGCTACGGTTTAAGAGGACTTATTTAAGAGAAAGACGGATTTAAGAGAGAGGAATTGGCGTGTACCAATAACAATCGATTTAAGAGAAATTTCCTTTTGCAGCTGGGATTTTTCTCTTAAATCGAACAATGTGGAAACCACGTGGACACACACACCCACACAGCTGCAGACACCATGCCCTGCGTGGCGGGCAGTCGCTGCACGGCTGTCCCCGATCACACGCCAGGCCCGCCGGCGTTCACAAACCACCAATGTAGAGAAGTCTGCAGGCAGTACCTCCATGGCACCTGTGGTGTGGTGGACCCTCAGGGCACCTCCGAGATGCATCGCATCTGCCACAACTGCCTTTCCTCCCGTGAGCGCATGACTTCAGGCGTGGGGAGTGCTGGTGGGACTGCTGGCGCGCCGTCAGAGAAGCGCAACTCCTCGGGGAGCAAAGGCAAGGGCTCCCCGGGTGCAAGTGGTAGCTTGAGACTTGGCCAGCATGGCGCGAAAAAAAAAGGCGGCGCAGCCAAGCGCAAGCGGGTGTCGGTCGAGGTGAAGGTGAACGCCATCGAGCTTCTGAAGACGATGTCTGTCGCCGCAGTCGCGGCGAAGCTGGGGATAGGCGAGAGCACCGTCTACAGCTGGAAGAGTGGCGAGAAGAAGCTTAAGGACGCAGCAGCGGTCGGCAAGGCTGGCGCGAAGTCTACGAAGGGAGGAGAGTTTCCAACGGTGCGTTCAGGACAGTTTTTTTTTCTTTTGTGTCACGGGCGGTGTGTTTTCTTTTTTTGTTCAAAAGTCAAGTGAAAGAAGACATGTGTATCTGCTGCTGTTCCGTGTTCAACAATCAAGTTAGAAACGTGTGTACTCGTAACTATGTATGTAGTAATATACAATATGTTTCTGCTGCTGCGCCACGATCATGTATGGTTTACAGCATGTGAGTTTTTGGTACGCTCACACATGTGCACTATGTATTACAAGGTAGTAGTAGTAGTACTGCTGTGAAAAAGACATGCTTGTGTGTTATGTACTGCTGTGAAAAGACACGCTTGTGTGCCATGTATGTACACATGCATGATGCCCGCGGACTTATTGGTGATCTTTTCACGTGCTACTACTGCTGTTGTGTTTTTTTTTGGCAATGGCAAAAAGCCAAAAGGTCTAGTCTGAAGTCCATCGCATGTTCAAAACTTTGCGGGGAATACTTGATGTCCAGCAGGGTGTGCTCGGCTCTACCTCTTGGTACTTGGGGTCCTGTGCGCTTGTCATCTATGATCAGAAACATTGTCGCTGCCACACCCTGCATGTACGAATTGAACCTGCTGTTTTCCAACTTGTTGCTCTCCTTCGCATCGATTGGCAGGTGGAAAAGGCTGTGATGGAGCTCCTCACACACGCGCGGGCGCATGGTCTGCCTGTGGATCGGTTGGCCATCCAGGCCTTTGGGCGCAAAGCGAAAGCAACTGTCGCAGCCAAGGCATCAACACCTGCAGAACGTGACCGACTCGACAAGTTCATCGCCTCTGAGGGGTGGGCAAAGAAGTTCATCGCTCGCCACAACCTCAAGTCCAGGAAGCTGCACGGCCAGGCGGGAAGCGTCGACGATGCAGCTATCGCCGACGGAATCCGCAAGGTCCGAGAGATGATCGCGAAGTACGACCCGGACAACATCATCAACTGCGACGAGACTGCGCTTCAGTACAAGATGTTGCCCCGCAGTACGTACACCGCACCTGGGGAGGACGTGGAGGTAGCCGAAGCGATCGTTACAGAGATGGTAGAGGACCTCTGTGATGAGAATTTGGTGGGCATGGATCTTTCCTCTGACGACGAGGACGACGACCTGGTTGAGCTACGCCAATCGGGACAGTCGGCGGCGGCAGCGGCCCCGGCTCCGCCGCCGTACGCGAATGTAGCAAATCATTTTGGTGAACTTGAGGATACTGCCGAGAAGTGCCGCATGTCCGAAGTGTCTTTTCACCTCCGCAAGGCTAAGCTAGCGTGGATGAGTGCCTACGGTTCGAGGGAAACCAAGCAGACGTGCATGAGCGACTTCCTTTGACGGTTGCAGCGCAGATCGTGTTCAGGCTGACAGGTCGCCAGGGTAGCGTTGGTTTCTTGGGTTTGTGTTATTTGTACGGCGAGTGATGTTTTGATATTGTGAAGCTGTTTTTTGTTCGTTGACTCGTGTTTTTGTCGGGGGTTCAAATCGATGGGATGAGAGGTATGAGGGTGTTACATATGTTGAGGGTACGGTGGGAGGAAGGTGCAGTGTGTAAACGGGTGCGTCGTTCTTGAGTGCTGGTGCATTCGTCGCCTCGTGTTGTCCTTCTAGAAGAGGTGCAACTATGAAACCCAGCTATAAAACAACTCAACCAAAACCTTTTACGTGTCCACGTGCAAAAATGTGCATCGCATCACACGACGATGATTTATTTTTCCGAACGCAGATCCACCAAAAGCGTACAACGTACAGCAGTGCTTGGGTCCACGTGCTTGCCAACCAAGAGAATGAGCGGTGTTTGGAGGTAGCCCGACGTGGTAACGCTAGCTGCGCAAGTGACATGCATGATACGCTCTCTTTATGACCTATTTTGGCATTCGAGTGTAGTCAGTGCGCGAGAGCCCCTGTTTCACGACCTTCAGTTTTGTCTACGATATAAGAGAGAATTCTCTTAAAGTGAGATTCTGTTTAAGAAAATTCTCTCTTATATCGTAGCCAACACGATATAACAGAAAGCCGGATTTAAGAGAGTGAAATTGGCTTGTACCGACCCTCTCTTAAACCGTAGCCGCTACTGTATTTCGGCTGGTGGTACTCAATCAAGTACATGTCTGCCTAAATAGTTTCGAGTCAATAGTGGTTGGTTGGTGCTACTTCAAACCCCCCCCAACTCACGGTAAAATACATCAGCAAGTTGTCCATGACTCCACCCATTTGAGAGCTGTCTATGATAGAGAGTACCAGCAGGACAAGCGATACTGCACCAGCAACAACCTATGTGCTAAATCGATCCTTACCTTTGGATTGGCTGCGTCACGCTGATCACGAACACCGGGTAGGGCGGAAAGCCCGGGTCCCTGACCACTCCATGTCCGGCTAGCTCAACGGCAAACATGGGTGTGCAGCGTCCGCTCGGCCGATGTCAAAACCAACGCGCAGCGTCTTATCTCCGGCCTGCTGCTGCTGCTGCTGCTGCAACTGCTGACCAGGGCGCTTAGCGCACCCACCCCACTGGCGCCAGGCCCGTTTTTCCAGTACAGCCTTGACTTGCTCCCCGTACGCTTGCCAGCAGCGCCGCTCTGCTGCTCTCCGATCCAACAAGCCTGATGCCTCTGTCAGAAACAAGATACGCCGCCGAAGGTCGGCTGCCACGTAGACTAATCGAGTTAGACTGCTGCTGCGGTTGTTGCCATGTTCGGGAACGAAAAAAAGCAGAAAAATCGCAAAAAAAAAAAACACCCGAGCGATCCCTACCGTCCCTCTTTCGGACACCAAGAAGCGCGGGCTGCAAGGGCACCGACATGGTCCACGCTCCAAGCTAGACATGTGACACGCGCTCAGGTTTCCTCTCGCCCAGTCGGCACTGCTTTCGACCTCAGCGCGGGCACGTATCCTCACAGACAAAAGGCTCCGCGTGTGTGCCCGGGCCGCAAGACAAAAAGTGAACATCTCGGCGGCAGCGCCAGCGGCAGCATCGGCAGTCTTTCTGCTACTTGTAAGTAAGATATTGTATGATGGCTGCGTGCCTCGCTTGTTTGTGTGCGGACACACAACACGAAGGGGCTAGCAGAGGGAGAGAGGTCGACACGGAGAGAGAGAGGCAAATATGAAGGCCCATGGGTGGCGTTGCAGTGTTTCGCAACGAATCGACTCGGTGGTCGGTCGGTGTCGGCGTCAGCAGTGCGTGCGCCGCGTCATGGCATGAGACTCAATCGCCGCTGCTCGCTTTTTTCAGGCAGCACGCACCACAACACACCGATCTCTTATTTGGAGAGCTAGAGAGAGGGAGGGATTGACTACACATGATGAGAGAGAGAAAAGGACCGAGGCAGAGCGTGGGTAGTTTGCGCGAAAAAAAATGGGGAAAAGCAAAATACGCACCCAACGTTGCTGGGTGTGCGTGCGTGACCAACGTCGCTGTTGGCACAGACGCAAGGGAAACGGACGGACCGGTACAAGTCTGGTAGAGGCTTTGTGTTCAAGTGTGCGTGCAGGCGCGCTACAACACCACCTCGGCTGCTGCTGAGCAAAAAAACCAAGCCCAAAATTTATCCTTGCAGCGCAGTCGCATTTTTTTGGATTCGCCGTGGATGATCTCACCGCGGGGGTTCTCTCACCGTCTGTGGCAACCTCGCGTTGTTCCTGTGAACGTTCCTCCAGCGAGAGCGTGCCAGGCAGCGTGGTTTTGTCTGCTGCTGCGGGCTGATCACCGGGTGTTTAAGGGATCAAGACTCAAAAACCACGGGTGCCGCGCGTTTTAGAGAAAAACGCCTCCGTAGAAAAAATTTATTGCGCAGTGACGGTCCGTGAGGTTTGCCCCCGCTGGGTGGTGGTCTCGCAAGCATGTTTTGGAAGAAACAGAGGTCGGCTGACACGGTTTGCCCGACAATGTTCCACACGACCAACAGCAGTAGCAAGAAACTTCCTAATCTATCTCTGTCTTGCGTTCTTCCTGGCCGTTCTCCTTGCCGAAGCTATGGTTGACAAAAATCGCTCAAAAACCACCGGTTGGTTTTGCGCCTTTGGGTGATGATCATCAGTCATGATCATCAGTCGGGTGTGGCCGCGATGTGGGTATATGGCCCGCGCTGAAATTAATTAATTGACACTTGAAAGAACTCCACGTGCAGCAACAATCACAGCACCCCGAGTCTAGGCGCGAGCTGTCTGCTTTGGAGTAGTGGTCCTACGCATATGTTCGCAAAGAGGAACTCAAGTTAGAGGGGCGGCGGATGAGCCGGCGATCTACGAAAAAAAAATGCGGCGCGATCTCTGGGAACGAACACGTTGATCTACAGCAGCAGTATCTCTCTCTGTCCGCCGTCTTTCCTCCGGCCGGACAACGCGTGCATCATGGCCGTAAGGCGGGACGGGATGACGATCGCCAACGTCAACTCCTTCCTGGAGATGAGCGGGGCAGACAGAGAAGCCGGCGAGATCGTGAACGCTGCGGGGATAAAGATTTCGGATCCGGTGCAGGAGCCAGGATACGGCAGGTGGGTGTCAAGTGCAGGCACCGCACATACATGCAGATGTGTGCCACGAGCGGGGGGGAGACCTCTTTACGTCAGAGCGAGTAACCCCTGCTGTATCTTCTACTTGCCGCCCGTACGAAGTTCATCCATATACGGGACGCATCGCAAAATCACCAGCATGATTCATCGGTGTGAACATATCGAAAGTTCTCCGTGCTTTTTTTTCCTTCCGGGAGCTGAGAATCCTTTTTCGCCGACAAAGAAGGCTGCACCCCGAAGAAGACCTTCTGTGGAGCGACTCCGGGCCGTCACTTCTCGGCAGACAAATGACGATAGACTCGTGGAGCAAGATACACTGGTGGAGACGTTTGGGAAAGAACGCGCTTGTCCAATTTGGGTGCGCTTTTTTTTTTGCCATCCCACCTGTACCTGGTACAGTATAGGTACACTGGTCTCTCTCTCTCTCATGGTTCAGTTCTTACGCCGTCTTGCGGCATGTTTCGGGCGCACCCGCCGAGGTCACACAGGCGCCACGCTTTCGCCGGCGGTGTATGTGTTGTTCCTCCACCCTTGCCTTCTTTCGCGGAGCTTGCCTTCGTCTTTTACAGCGAGAAGGAATCAGCCATCCCTTTCCCTCGTGTTTTTTTGCGGTCCATGAACTTCATGAAAACCATCACCACCATGGAAGACCTGCGACGCTCAAAACGTTTGAATCGTAACAGCCGCAACCAACCGCACAATGACAGGAAGTTTGCGGTGAGAGCGATGTCCACCAGAAACTACTGCTGCTGTGTCCCTTGTCGTGTGTATTGTTTCTATTACGAATACGAATTGCTTCAATGTGGGGTGTCGGAGTGCACAACAGGTAATTTGGGTTAAACCGCGCGACAAATCGTCGCGTTTTGGCAGGACGGTCGACGTGGTCAAGCTAAGGGAAGATCTTCTGCTAAAGTTGCAGAATGAGCGGTCGGAAGAAGTGGGTGGTCTGCGCGCGAAGCAGAAACAGGTGCGCGCTGCCAGTACCATGAGAAAAATCAGATGGCCCTCAAGCTCAAAACGTTAGTGGCGGCTGTTGTTTCCCTGTTTATTAGGATGCCAGCGCCATTTCTAGACAGAACGAACGATAAGGGTCCCATTCAACGGTCCTGAGATTGCTACATCAGTTACTACCTTGTTCTGTGTCAGAATATCCACACACGTTTTGAGCCTCAATCGATACAATACACACCGAACGGATCCCCCCCCCGGGTCATCTGCAGGGCGGTACGATGTGCAGCATCCCGGGAATGTCTCGAGGGTGCCTTTTCTCGCTATTTTCTCGTCAAAAGCGCATCCATCCATTGGCAAATTTCCATTGCTCAGCACCCTGTATGCGGCATCGAGTATGCCGAGTGGGAGGGACAAGCTCAATGTACCCAGCTTCGAAAGTTAGCAACAGAGGCAGCAAAACCTTGAACCCAGTAGACTAAGCTCCACGTTCATTTTTTCCTTTTTCTCCTTGGCCTAAACAACAGATAATGTCAGACAAGAAGGGTCGCGAGGCGGAGTTACTGGAGCTCCAGAAGGCGGAAGAGAGCCACCGCGAGCTGCTGCTGAAGGATAGGGATGAGAGAAATAAGATAGCGCAAGACCTACACTGCCTCAGGAGGTCCGTTGTAGCCATAACGAGATGTAGACTCTCCGCATCCAAAAGGAATGCCAGGGCGAGATGTAGTCTGGACTCTCAGCATTCAACAAGAATGACCGCGCATTTATCTCGTTTAACCTTGTATTCGCGTGCTCCCGTGGGATTTTCGCGACGAACAGACCTCGAAGCGGCCTGGCTTCACGACCAACATAGTTGATATTGCGTGCCATTCAACACTCTATCATGCGCTAGAACGTCTTCTAACTTGGGATCGCCACCACCGGCGGGTATGGCGAACAATCTAGATATGGTGAAGTCATGTTGCTGTATCCCGTCAATGCTTCATTAGGATAGATGTCCCTCGAGATTTTCATCTTCGTAAAACAAGCCGTTTCATGTCCGCCCAGATCTCATCTGGTGGATATGGAGGAGGAGACGAGGCGCGAACTCGCCTCCCTACAGCGCGAAAGAGAGCTGCTACAGGAAAAAGAGAAGAACAACGAAGCCGCAATCGACGAGGTACGTTCGAGGAACAAATTTAAACGAGCGGAAACAAAATGCGCCCCTGCGTTGGTTCAGCCAAGAAACCCTTTTAGAACGTAAACCAACTCTTCCAGCGCGGTTCATCAACATGCAGTTTGGTTGTTAACCTTTTTCGCTTTCCGCTTTCCATCGCTCCAAGACTTAACGGTCCTTCAGGGCAATCCGCCGGCTCCACTAGTAGGCGAGATTCCGTTTCATGAGTACGCATGGTGTTGCCTTGAAACGTCGCCGGACAGATCTTTGGAATGGCCATTGATGGACTACATTGATCGCTGTACACCTCGTCGGCGGTTTGGTGTACCGAGGGAATGGTGAACCGGTCTCATTGGACCCAACGCTACGGTTTCTCAGCAAACTTGATAACTTGTGTCTGAGGTTTCTTTGAGGCCCCTAATGACTCGTTGGTAACTCCAAGAGATACGGTGCCTCATCAATCAGCGATCTATGACACAAAACCGCTGTATTCACAATCAACGTCGCAGAACTCGAGACCAAACTGCAGAGCAGCATACGCAAGCCCGACGAAACTTGAATGCTCGCGATCGCTCTCACCAACTCCTGCTTCAACCGTGACGCTCATAAGGTACGGAGGAAGATCATGGAGCAGGACAAGGTCTATCACCATGCGATGGATGCAGCGAGGAGCAAAATCAAGACCGGAAAAAATGGGGTAGACCAAGATGGTCGCCCGATGGCCGACACCGCCAGGAGTCAGCGTCAGGCCATTCAATCTGAACAGGCACGACCACTTACTGAAAAAGGAGCGTTTGTGATCTCTTCAAGACGGTGTAGACATCTGAAGGGCTTCGAGGCATCGTGTTTGTTACAAAGATGCGCTCGAGTGACTGGTTTATTGCAAAGCGTTTGAGGCTTACGAACATGCGGGACTTGTCAACAATTGTTCTTTGAGGGATCTCGTCTAGTTTTCCTTGAAGTGGCGTACTTGTGCCAGTGTTGTGACCGCCACCTCCTCGGCAAAGGAGAGTCTACGTCGCAGAAGAAGGCATGGGTGTTGGCTTGACGACAACCCTACCAAGACGAGCAACAGTCACAGGGTGACTACTCTTATGTCATGTTCCAAAGGACTGACCGGTAATGCGGTCTGTCGTAGAGTACCCCTTTTCTGTTCGTTTCTGCAAGCGTTCGCCACGTAAGAAGGGGAAGGCTTGCGCTGTTCGGGGAGTTATGGCTTGGTTTTCTTCCAATCGTCCGTAAAGGTCGTGTTTTGTGCGGTCGGGCGGGTGACGTTGCCTTCTTGCCGTGTGTTTTGTTGGAAAACACACGCGCATACATCAATAACGACACGGTAGCAGATTCCCGTGAAGCATGGGTTCACTGGCAAGGCAAGAGGTTGATTTCAGGGTTCGCCCATAAACTCGGTATACAACATTAAACGTGAGCTGTAGAAACCTGGGTTCCAGGGTTAGGGTTAGGGTTAGGGTTTTCGCCCGAAGTTGACGAGCAATTTGGCTGTTAACGAGAGGGGGCAACGTGCTCGTGGCGTGCTTCCCCAGGTGGCGATAGCAGAGGTGTACGGGAAGAGGGCGGGGACGCTACAGGAGGAGCAGACGCGGCTCCAGCACGAGATACAGAGCGTCGACGAGAGAATCCAAAAGGCGCGGAAAAATGGTACGTGTCGTTTCAAACGCAATTCCTCGAAACTTCGAAATTCTGGGTGGCTTGGGGTGCCTCAAGATGAACATATCTTGCAAGAAAGGTTTCGAAACTATTTCGGACAATATCGACAACAGGCCAGATTTCGAAGTCCTTCGTAGGAATATAATTCGAAGGCTATTTCGAAATCTCGATATTTTCAAAACAATCCCGCAGGAAGTCGGAATTTTGTTTGCTGGGTTTCGAACGACCCACAATTAGAAAAACCAGTCCACGTTCTTCAGGCAATGAGAACGGAAACAAGTTCCGGAATTTTCTCGAAATTGTTTTACTACTTTTTGCTGTCTTGGCCTGAGAGCTGCCGATGTTTCGTTTTTGTTGCCACGAGTTTGACGATTCGGCGTACTATCTTGACCTATCAACTCCTTCGCCTCCCCGGCGCCCGGGTTTGTTGCCCATGGCTCGTCGCTACCACCCGACCACATCCAAACCCCTGCTTTTCAGGCCTTGCTCCGGCGAAGGGAGCGGACGACGCGCTGGCGGCTCTGATGACCGAGGCGGGGATGGAAGAGCAAGCAACCCGCTTGCGTAGACTGAAGGTGGGGTGTGTTGGTGGAGGCGTTCGGAAACGTAGTTCTCAGTGGTCATGAACTGCACACGACGTCTTGTACGATTGTCGGCGGGGGTGCGGAGCACCTGGCCCGCCAGCGAAGACTGCAGGTTGACGTGCGTTGGTGAAGGTGTCGGAAACGTGCCTCTCGGGTGTAGGTAGGACGTCTTGTACAGTCAGTCGTTCTTGGTGCACGCGCCTAACCCGCGTTGACAGGAGGGTTGAACGGGTGGCACAAGTGTGGTGTGTCGTCTATTTTCACAACTGGGGGCGGTCTATCGTACCGATCGTGTACAGTCGTCTTCTTCTGTTCGTTCGTGGTGGCATGAACCCGACCGCTCATTATATAGGCCTCTTCTTCATACCACGAATACCCGTCTAAATGTCCGCTTTTGCAACTCTACCTCCCTGCCTTAGAGTCGCAGCTTAGACCCGTGTCTTCCCTAGACGTGCCCGTAATTCGTCTCGAAATGTTCTCTAGAGTACAGCAATCCGCTTACCTACTTGGCGGGAATTAACCAAGATGCCGAGGGATCGTGTCCTCGCGACGAAATCTGTACCTGTCTGACAAGGGAGGGACCTTTCATTTCGGATGGAGATGTGATTATCCCAGTGGTCTCTATCTATGTTTCCTACCAAGAATAGCTGTTTGTGGTGGGCTCCTGAGAGGCTCGCGGATGTCTGGACTTGATGTCAGCTTGTACTGGGAAAGGGCCTCATCTGTTTCTCCCGCTCAACTCGATGGAAAAGGGTTTGGTATTGATCGCGCCGGCGTGTTTGAGGTCCGATTCCCCGACAAAGGTTAATCAGACCTTCCACGTGTTCACGGAATTCCCCGGTTTCCCCGTCCGCCCCTGTGGCGCACGCAGGGAGACTTCGAGAAGCAGCACGCCGAGGACGTCAGCGGTGCTTTTATCAAAGACTACGAAGGGGTGGAAGCGAAGACCCGGAAAGCACTCAAGAATAGCGCAAAGGTCCGTTTCCAAGCCATGCTCGTTCTAGCCTTCCGAAATACAAGTGGCAGTTCCACGGGATAAACCCGATTGAGCTCGAAGATAAAAGACGAAGAATCCGACACTGTTTTCGGTGGCTCCACATTAACCAATAGCTCTGTTGTTCGACGCACGGCCGAACACCTGTCCACGCGTCGGCGTGCAGCGGGGGGTTTCAGAACCCTGTGTGCGAAGGCAAAGAATGGCACGGGATAAACTCCGGCCAAAACACCAATGCGGGGAGATTGTTGTTCATTTTTTTGTCAAATGAAGCATGCGGGTGTCACCTGTGCGTTTGATTATGAGCTGCAAACCCGTGTGTAGGTGTGTGGGGGGGAGTGGCATGGGCGGGCGGAGAATACACCCCGACCTATGTACTGTAGTATGGCTACAGAAATACACGAGATTTGTTGTCATGATTGGTGAATTTTGATTCATTTCTTGTTCAACTTTAACTCGACCATGGATCGACCAGGTCGCAAACCACACAGCCGGTAGGATGCTGCGAGCTTCACAGCAGTAGTCGCTGAGGCGGTTGTGACCACAATCTTCAGGGATTGGTGGTGTCAAAAGAAACGAAAATGCGATACACACCAACTTTTTCGCCAGAGTGTTTTCTCACGAATCTGACCCGCTTGGGGCTATCACGAATACATCCGCTGTGTCCTCCCGAACAGCTTTACGAACGGTGGTGGTAGAGAGGCTGAGTACTGGCGGCAAAGGGGATGTGGCTGCATAATGGCTGACTGATCGCACCCTAAATCCGGCGACCCCCAGCTCCTTGAAGGCCGAACAGGGGAGTACGCGGAGGCAACTGCAGACGCTTTCCTGGACGATTGGCTCAAGACCGACGCTGACCGTGCGCGAGAGGCCGCCGCCGCCGCCGCCGCTGCTGCGGCAGGCGGGAGACTGCTATCGCCGCACGACAACATCCCTGCCATCGATCGTACAATAGGTGCTGCGTCGACGGGTGCAGATGCTACGGGGCAAGGCGGGGTAGGTCGTCGCTTGTCAGCGACCCGCAACGGTACAACTGCCCACGAGGGCCACAAAAAGAAGAGGCGCTCGAGTCGTGACCGCGGCCATGGGAACGGACACTACACTCGACGGCGAAGCAGTGGAGGCAGGAAGATCCACAGGAAGGGGCGCACATCGCGCGATTCTGCCGGGACTTCGAGCGCGGGCAGCAGCGATTCTGAAGGAGGCCGATCCAACGACCACGTGGCGGGACACGGGGTTTCGCACGGCAGGCATGGTGGTGTTGTTGGAGGGCAAGGCGGTAATCAGCAGCGTCGCCGAAACGCCGCCGTGGGGCCGATCTCCCCCCCAAACGGCGTTGCTCCCGCCGCTCCCGCCGACAGCCAGCCGTCAGCAGCGGAGCATCACCACCACCGCAATCGGGCGGGCGAACATCGTGCGCCTAACGAGCGGCTCGCTGGCGAACACCGTAGCGATAAGAGCGGAGAAGGCGGTTCCGACGGGGGAGACGCGAGACCAGCAGCGCAACAACCTGAATCGATATCCTTCGGTCAAGCCGGACGAGAAGACGAGGAGCAGGAAAGTTTGAGGCGGGCCAAGGACGACAGCGCACAACTTCGCGCTACAGTGGAGCGGCTGGAACGCGAGCTAAGTTCCGTGAAGGCCGGTACAAGGATGGGTGCAGGAGGCGTGGTGGGGGCTCAGGGTGAAGGCTTCGGATTGGCTGGAGGCAGCGGAGGGAGTAGGTGGGGCCCGCCAACGGATACAACGGCGGGCGCTCCATGGATGGCAGGCGGGATGGCAGGTGGCATCTCATAGGCCCAGTGTCTGATGGTGCCAATAGGGACCTGAGTGTGTTTTAGGAGACGTGGCCAACCACCTTCAATCGGCCAAAGACGGCAAGCATCACGCATCACCCACATCCGATCACCTGCTGGTACTAGCCTTGCGTGGAGTGCCCGTCCCCCAGAGAAAACCTCCAACAGAACAGTAATTCCTGAAAAGACCATGGTCCAAGAGGAAACCACAACTCCCCCCTTGACCCCCCGCTTTGATTTTTCCGCGTTTTCGTGCTTTCGTTTCGGAAAGCTCCTGGCCTCCAGCAATACCTGGCCTCTCTCGACGCAGAAAACGCCCGCATGATGGCCGAAATCCAAGGACTGTCCAGCGGTGGCGCGGGCGGCGGTGGGCAGCAGTTCGGCCTCACGGGCCTAGGGGGTGACGCCAACGTGGGGCTGTCAACGATGTTCCCTGGACCAGCAGGTGCGACGGCAGGGAAAGGGATGGCGGCGGCGGGGTACCTCGGCCCCGGCTTGCACGGAAACGGACGTGGTCCGCAGGTGGACGGGAGCGGAGAGCAGGGGGAGGGGGGCGGCGGTAGCGCGATCACCGCAGCTCGCAAGCGAAGCCGCGTGAACGGAGAAAAGGAACGGGTTGGGCCGGAATGGGACGAGGAGCTTCCGGAGGCGGGCGGGGAGCCTCGTTCTCCTCGAAACAAGGAATACCGCCGGAAGATGATAGAAATGGACGCGGAACACAAGGTGTGGCGTCGGGTTAGCCAAGGTCTAGGAAAGCAGGAGAGGGAAGTGTATGAGTGTATCCTTCGCATTTAGGTCGGACTCTCTCTGGGTTCTCATCGTGTGTAACTTATCCTCGGGAATGTTGTGACCCCGGAAGTTGGTTTGCTTGTCTTAAAGAAGAGGTACTGGATACTTTGTCAGGACGGTTCAGAAAAGAAAGACAACGATATCAATCGCACTCTCATTCGTGAAGCAGTTTTCGTCCTGATCCGACGACCTGTGCTTTCAATTTCTCTACGACCGTACTAGCCTGCGAATCAACTGAAAAACTCGGTGTTTGGTGTGGGGGAACTGTTGTGGTGTTTGGTGCGGGGGAACTGTTGTGGTGCGTATGCTGTTGTCAGGAAGCGGTTAAGCGGCTGGAGTTCGAAATGCAGAGGCTGGAGCTGGAGCAGCAGCTAGAGGACATGCGCGAAAGGATGGCGAGGGAAAAGAAGACTCGCCAGCAGGACGTCGCCCACGAGCAGTGGGTCACGGAACAGAAGAGGAACCTGCAGGCGATCAAAATACAAAAGGTACAGCGAAGGGCAGGTACAGCGTAGGTGCTCTCTCTGTCGCTCGTTGAAACTGTTCTCGTGGCACTACAGCTGTTTGACGGGTGACTGCAGGCCACCTGACGTATCGGACCGCGAGACAGAGGGCATCATGACATTACTACCGTTATCTCGTTGATTGATCCACGCGCTCTCGCTCGTCTAGGAGCGATACCTGTTGAAACACGATGCGCATAATGCCTTCGCATAAACCAGATCACCCCAAGGTGTCAATTTCTGAGCTAAGGCAAGACAGAAGACTGTTCTGACGCATCACCAGCACTTTCGTTCCTTACCCATCTAGTCTACTGTAGTCGGCTGATAATGAACCTGCGCTCTCGTCGAAACGGCTGGGCAGACTCTGGCGAAAGAGCGACAGCTGATAGAGGTGCAGCAGACGCTCACCGACGCCCGCGGAGGCGGGGTCGGCAACGGTGCCCTCGGCGGGGGCCGCCTCGCCGGAGGAGGATTCGGCGAAGTAGCGGCAGCGCTGCATGCTGCGGGCGGTTGGAGACCGGGGGTCGGGGGCATCGTGCAGAGGCCGTACAACAAGGACCAGGGGTTCTGTGTGTTCTGGGACTACTTGACGGGATTACCAAAGAGGAGCGGGAGCAAGGTCATCGGGAAGGTCAGGAAGACGGGTCAATTTTCTCAAAATCGTGCGCGTCAAAAGATCGGCATGGGGGCAGCCTGTTGTTTGGCTCGGTACCTCGCGCCGTCTTGCATGGCCGTGCCCAGATCAGCAAGTAGCTACTGGCCGTAGTGCGACACGCTTGAGCAACCCCTATCTGCCTCTTCTGGCATTGAACGTCCCTGCACGTTTCTGTGCTCTCTGCTGTTGAGCCGAGCAGAGTCGTCATCAATTTCGTTTCTTTCTCTTTCACAACCCATGGATCGATCATAGGTTCGACTGGCGTTTGGGCTGTACATTGGAAAGCGGCTTCACGGCAAGATGCTCTCGACACCGTGGACGGACATAGCGCCACGCGCGGTCAAGAACGGCAACACCGGAAAAGCGGAAACCTTCTCGAAACTTGAAACTCGCAGCACGTTCCCAGGGTAACACATAGAACGCTTTTGTGACCGATGGGTGCTAAACAGCTTGAAACTTGGTGCCACCTCAACGACTCTCGACTACTTCCATTCCGGTATCGATGAAGCCTGACGTATTGATCATCCATCTAGTGTCGAGAGCTGGGCGTTGCTCTGGAGATGTTTGTTCACGTTTTCAACTACTCAACAGCCATCGGAGATACCCGTATTTCGCCTGCACTCGTTCTTGTTGCAAGCTAATGTTCTGAAGGTTTTGGGAAGTGCTTGGTCCATGTGAACCGGTCTACAGACTGTCCTGAAGATTATGATGACGTTCACTTCGATATCCTCCCCATTGATATCTACGGTCCCACCGACGCGTTCAGGATCCCCGTGCACTTGCAGACTAAGTTAGTGGTGGAACTGCAGTTCAAGGACGAGGCAGGGGTGCAGAGGAAGGGAGGGAAGGGGAACCTCGGGTAAGCTACTACCTCAAACCCCCTATGCCTTGTGTGCTTCGTGTTTAGGGGGGGAATATTACGTACGGAGTGTTCCCGACGGCCGAGGCGTGTCACGCGTCATGGACACATTTGCGGGCTGGCACGACAGTCTTACCGGATGAGACTCGGGGGTTTATTGCCCAAATTTATGTGCTGCGTCAGTCGAGTGAGGCTTCTCAACCTCTGGCAGTGATGGGTCCTGCTATGCATGTTACACGAGTGCCCTTTTATTGTCATGCTTACACTTGCGAAACGATGCCTGGCACGAGCCCTCATTCGTTTTTGAATGTCGACAACTTTTTCGCACACGTTGGACGCCAGGTGGGGGTGTATTTACGTGTTCAAGCCCGAGAAAGGTAGCCCCCATCGCCTGACGCTCCGAGCTGGTCTAACGAGACTCACCCTGTTCCCGGGGAGCGTGGATCTGCGAATCGCGAACGTCAACGACGACAAGTCGGCCGTATCGCGATCGACCCCAACGGCAGCGTTCATCAGGTATTGGGGGCCCAGACCGACGTAGGGAACATCAGGAATGAATCACACGCTGCCGTGAACCCAGCCGTAATCTACCGACGTTGTAGTTCATGGTCTCGCCCTGGAATACAATCACCCATCATCAGGTCGTGCGTCGAAATTGGCGTGCTCGGGGACTTTAGTCAAGACGTGGCGGGTCAGGCTATAACCAAATTAGATAACACCGCCAACAATTCGTCCAACGAGTGAACGCCAACACCGTGAAAAGAAAAGGGCGTGGCCACAAACCGATGTTATCGCTACTGTCTGTCGAGGCAAACGTTGGTGATGAGCGACATGTCCTTAGAGTGTCAGTTGAACATTGCTTTGGCAAGTATTGACACGGTTGGCATTCCAAGACGCGGGTTGATCGCAGATTCGGCACAATAACTTTCGTATGTATCACCAGCATGAGATTTCCCCGAAAACAACACCAACACGAACGACGACAGCAACGTGAGCAACAACGACAATCGAGGCGACACAAACCAAGACCAAACATCAAATGAGTGCTATTTGCTTGATGTTCGCATACGTTAAGGTTAGTGCATGGGATGGACATGAACCCGGCGGCGGCATTCGTCGTAGACCCGGACACGCAGCACCTCTACGCAGCGTACGGCAGAGGAAACATTCCACAGATGGAGCGGCAGAAACTTATGGCAGGTACTTGCGCGGGGCAACAAGGCCCACCGAGAGGATCGTGGCTGAAGTTCGTTCGTAGTTATGATGCCCTTTTCCATTTCTTCATGGCAAAACGTTTTACCGAGGCGACAACTGGCCACTATTTTGCTGTACTATTTAGGACCCTATTTTTTCCCGTGCAACCAAGGCTCTACCTGTGAATCTAATGTCGGTTTGTCGACCACCTAAGATAGACGAAGGCACACCTTTGGAGAGAAACGCTTCACACCTGTGTTTGGCCACACCATTCGTGGTAGGTAGGCAGATACTGCCATCAGCGACCGGCATGAATGACGTCTGGGCCTCTGGCAAAAGGTGGCGGCCGCACTAACTCACGACGTGATACTTTTTCATACAATATGAAGAATGAAATTCATGACAGCAAGGCTATAGCAAGTACACTCCGGCAACAGCAAGGGTAGAGGGTACCGCGATATAGCCAGAGTCTTCGACTGAGCCGTACCGTTCGGAGTCGACCCTCCGCACAGAACTGACACACGCAATTGCGTGTCGAACATATCTATATGGACACCAATGATCGCTCTTTCACTTGCTTCGATGCAGGGACATTCTTGCGAGCGATTCTGGCCCTAGGCAAGTTCAAGCGTGCCCTCGTGACGCACAAGCGGACAAGAGCGTCAGGAGGAGACGCAGCGAAAGACCATCCTCCGTTGCGGAGAAGATCGAGCAGTCCGTTGCGGCGGGGATCGACCAGGCATGTGAAGTACCTAACGCGATTCCGGCACCGTCAGCTGGTTTGCTCGCCCGATGAGTGTATTGATGGCTCCGCCACCTCTAGAAGCTGCGTTACAGCTTCATGGCTTCACGTTGGACTCGACCTCTGGTGGGAAAACCACCGCGTTCAAATAAAGGCGGTGGGCGGGGATGGTTCTGTTTGTCTTGTTCTGCGATGCTGGACCTGCGTCCAAATTAGATTGAACGATCCGGAAACATCCGACGTGCCGATAGCGCTGACTGGAAAAGTATCTATCATCCTCCCTGGGATACACGAAGATAAATATCTGTCGTCCGTGGAACACGCACAGAATATTGGAGGAAACCAAGGAAACGAGTGGGCTGACGACCGGGGAGAGTCGAGCGCATATTGGCGCATGGGCTCGTGCACAATTCTCAACCAAATTTTGTTTTAGTATGCAGCGTTTGACCCCACGCCAGAAACTTCCGCTGTCCCATTGTTCGCTCGATTCGCACCTGAAAAAATGCATCCAAACACGTGCAGACGGACTTCGTTCAAGCTCCCCAGAACTGGTACATTCTCGTCGGAGACCAGATCCGAACCTCAAGCAGCCGACGGCACAGGTAAAGGGTGGGCCCAAAGTTGGTTGGCGGAGGTGACATGCGGCGCGATGCATCACTCGGTTGTCCTTGACACGTTTGAGGCGAACAAGCACCGCATGGTTTACCGAAATCTCTGTTGAGCTACATATGTACCCGCGAGAAAGGCATTTGGTTTTGTCTTCTATTGGCCCGACATGAGAATCCCCCCTGACATGAGCTGCCCGCCCGGACCAACACAAGAAGTATCAGTGCAACGACAGCGACGGCAATATCCACACTATTGGATGTAGGGCGCCGTTACTCTAACTGGCGAATGCGTCATGTTCGGCCTCGAGGTTCCCGTCACGTGCAGACCGCAAGCGCATTGTGAGGATAAATTGAAAAGAGGGAGGGAGGGGAGAATCTTCCCAGCCTGTCGGTTAGTTTTTTCTGCAGGCGGGGACTTAAGAGAGAACACATGGTGTCTATTTCTCAATAGTTGCGGACCAAAGGGAGATGTTTGTGCATTGCACTGGCGTTGTTTCTTTGAAACGTGCTGTTCTCCCCCAAAGCATCTGGTGCGTCACCACATGTGCGCGTGGCGCAGCAACTTGCTTCGCTCAAACGTCGTCCGGTCCGTGGCTGAGACTCCTACGTCCCTGGTACACCTATAGGTCTGGTAGACGGGGGGGAGCCCGAAGTAGAATCTTGTCTTATCGAATTCACGTTTTCGTGGGCACCCTCTTGAGCATGTTGCCGTATTCGCTGTGTGTCGATACCGACAACGTGTTTTGTTGGTGGTGAAAGATGGCACCGACGCAGAGGACGGGGAAGGAGCCAAGCAACCCAAAGCCGACAAGCAGCAGGCGTCGAAGCCGGACGAAAAACGGTCAGAGAGCCCAAAGAGCGAGGAAAGAGATTCCGTTGAGGAGGAAGATTCGGAAGAAGATTCTGGAAGTGCGAAGGGCGGCGGACGTGAGACGAAGGAGCGGCGGCGAAGCAGCCTGTCGGTGAGGAAAAACCTAGACGGCGAAAAATTGTCGCCGTTTCGTTAGGTGCGTGATGAGTGCTCGTTTTCCACCCCTGTTGATTCAGCACTGTCGATTTTGCCTCTTTACGTGACTAGACAGTCAACTCAGCGTGCTGGCGACCTTGGCAATGACCCGAGATTGTTGGCACCGATAAAGCACCAATTTTGTGTAGAGACTTCTCGCACGTAGTCCCTTACTTGTTTGGCGCTGTCGAAACCCAGTCTATCCATTCGCAACTGGCGGGACAGAAGACAATGGCGAGAAGAGCAAGCCTTAGCAAGCGCCGGCAGAGCACGGTGAGTTTTGGCTGCGATCCTCAAAGACGTGTCGGTTCGAGTTCGAAAGAGCTACCCGCCAGGAAATGCCCAGACACAACAATGAGCAGGGAACATTTGGCCGATGTCGAGACTGTGGGCCTTCCTCACATTGAGAGTACGGGATACCTTGCCGGCCTTCCGAGGATGTTGTTCGTGGGTCGGCCGCAACCCTGAATACTAGGCCACACAATCAATGGTTGGAACACATATTCGATGCATTTCGCCAGAAGCAGATGTTCCGGGATGGTGTGCCGCGGGAGTGCCACGACCTGACGTAGAGTCCTAGGTGTCACAGTCCGAGGTAATGCACCCCGCACCACCCACCCTAACTTGAGATGATCTTTTTACTTCGTTTTGCAACCACGTCCAGAGCCCAGCTGATGCAATATCAGTTTCTTTCTTTTTTTTCTTCTAAATACGACGCAGCGAATCCGTCTCTATCCACGGATGAGAGTCCAGGATAATTATATATTAGCAATGAACCTTAGCACCAGGAGCACTACCATTGTTTCTACGGTTCCCCGAGCAGCACACAGCGATTCTCCCCTGTGAGTAAACAGGTTCTACAAGACAGTTTGGTGGCCGTCTTGTTCAAAAACGCCCACCGGGGTTGCCCGGAAACACACCCTCCCCCGCGTGTGTAAACAGGTCAGCAGACAGCCGTTCCTAAAGGGTGACGGCTTCGACATTTATATTGACCGGGCCTGCGGCATGCCGTACTCTTGCACCATCACGAAAGTCGTGGTCAGGGTCATCGGGGACGTGGGAAACGAGGTATGGCATGAAGAATGGGAAGGGTAAGCGTATGCCTAGAGAAAACGTCCACTATTATTCCGACCCTCTGCACGTAGTGTGTACACACAAACATCACTGAGAGGTCTGTATTTTCAGAGGTGCCGACCTGTCCGCAGCCTCACTTGTCCCGAACCCGGCCGTACTATGTTGTTCGTCTAGGCTAGCCGAACTGTCGTACCCAAAGGGGTAACGGATTGAGAATGTAGGGGCGGCCTTGGGGCCAAAAGGCCATTCATACTTGCAATAGGATCGCTTGAGAAGCAAAACAGGCAGCGTGGGGGCGCCGACACCCTGTCCTTTTCGAGTTCTGTGGATTCTGCTCCTGCCAAATATGTAGATCTCATCCCGCCATTGCCTTGATCCCACCTTTCACGCCCTTTCGGTTGCAGGGACATTGTTCCGCCATCAGCGAGGGTGATAGCCCGAGCAACAACCCTGTCTTCGGGCTGCGGCAAGAGTATCGCACCGGTCCAGAAAGCGTAAGTCGATGTTCCCCCCTATCTTCCGATGAATCATTCGTACTGGCTTCCCCACGGCCACACGAAACAAACGAAGCGGGCTCCGCTCGTAGCCGGCAGTCCGTTGCAGTTGGTACTCGTGCACGAAATTTGTCCCGTGCTTGGCCGCGCGCGTTCTGATGAATCTCGGCCTCTTCACCTAGGTTTGAAACGCTACCAGCCGCATCGATGGCTCTAACTCACAAAGAAAAATCATTGGGTAGCCAGCTTCGTGGAAAATTCATCGTGGTCAGCCATCTGCGCTTTTCTCGGCCGTTAAAGTGCCGTAGAGCGGATTGAGGCACAATGCTTATATGTGTTTGGATTCACCTCTGTCTGCATGGTCAACCAACCATATCGCTGGACCAATCTATGCAGACGGCAGCGGGCACACGGCCGCTCGCGGTTTATCTGCACTGGCTACATGGAGCCATATGACACCACACAGCGCTTGCGGAGTACGACTATTGTGTGCACATCTCAATTCAAGCGATTCATGCTGTGAGCGGATCGATACCCTCAACTCTAAACTGCGTTACGTTCCCTGCGCCTCTCCAGCGGATGGACATGACCAGCACGGTCATGATCCGGGTCGACACCCTCGACCGCTTTTCCTCCGAGCATCGAGCTGTGGGGTACGCTCTCCTGGCGATATTCATGGACCCATCTGGAAATCAGGTACACAGTCGGCGGCTGAATACGGTCCATTTTGTATGTTATGTTCCACTCAGTCTTTCGAAGGAATCCAAACATCAAACCGCCGTTAATTTTCTCCCTTGTTCGTGAACACACTCTTTCCGAACCTCCAAAAGGAAATTTCGCTGAAACCTTCTCTGCGCGTCTCGGGCAACCCCTGGTTGCCTCGTCTCTTGTCGCATTCCCTCCCCTATCTCCGCGAACAACAGCCGACCAATGCCAGTGCTGACGGGGCCTTCTTGCGGGAGGGGAACTATCAGGTACTACGTCAGCGTCTATCTTTCGGGGCACCGCGTCCTACGCAGAACGAGGGTCTGTCGGTCAGACCCGTCGCACGTGCGGGCTTTTCCTGCGCAAATGCTTTCCCAAAGCTAGACGGCGCCAATTCGTGGCTGGGCTTGGTTCTTCAATGAAGCGGACACTGCTGTGGAGCGTATGGAATCAGCAACTAGAGACTCCTTTGGAATGCCAGAGTTTTCTCCGCTTTGCGCACGGGGAACTTTGGATGAAAACATGGGGACGGAAAGAGACTCGCAACACTCGCTATACATACGATACGCCCGTTTGCTACCCAGGTACCGATATACCAGAAGCCCCCACCCGACATGCGCCGGGTGACGTCGCAAAGCCTCGACAGATGCCTGAGGGTCCCGTGTGCCAGTGTTCTGGTGAGAAAACGTACTGTTTCCGTTACGGCATTGATGCCGGTGCTGGGAGAAGGACCGTGTCCAGTGCTCCGCCCGTTGCTGATGTTCTGTTGGCGACTATGCTTCCTATGCTTTCAGTACGGTTGCACCCAGTCCTGTCGTTGCTAGGCCTAGCACGAGCACATCACATCGTGATGACCGTTCACTCGCGAATCACATGCGGCTCGTTCGTAGATTTGGCGACGTATCTTGGCCTGCTCTCGCATGCTACGGAGGGAATCGGGGCAACACTAGACATAGCGGTACGGACTCCTTACATGTCCTCTGCTATTTAAGCGCGTGCCGATCAACCACAACGTATTTTACGCCGTTTCGCCGGAACAAGGTTCGGGTGAAGCCGGCTTCGAAGTCTTCGGCGGGGAAAACTCTAAGCAGAGCGGATGTTCCAGAAGACGAATGGAAGCATTTCGGACTTGCGCCACCTACTCCCCAGGTTCGAGAAGCAACCCCCCCAGAGAAGAGAGTGGAGTCAAGCAGTGCTACAGGAAACGGTAGATGCGATACGGGAAGTGAGATCCAGGTTTCCCAAATCCTCAGAGGTTCCGTTGACAGTAACAAGTCAATGATAAACAAGCTGAAAATTTGTGGTTGGGATTGCACGCAAAGCCAGCGAAGGGGCTATTGGAGACGATGGCCGAGCTTTATCGATACAGCAGGGTACCTGAAAGGAAGTGCATGTACTCTAGATGGCTTTGTACTGAAGAAAATGGTCGATGTTTCGAGGCCGTTCACGTCGATTGGTGAGATCAAAGCGTTCTGCGGCCTCCCCTCGGGCGACCAGAACAATGAACAGCGGCTGGGTAGATATGCGCGTCGTGTTTGGTCCCTAATTTTGGTTTATGAGCGGTCTTTTGTTTGTAGCCCAAGTGGGAATGGGAGAATTGTCTTGGCGTGTGCCGCTCATTGTCGATCACAATGTGTTTTGCCTCTTCTTGCTCTACAGTTCTCCCCGGGCGTGTACGACAACTCGGACCTCGAACTGACGGATTTGGAGAGGCAGATACTGGACCTGAGATCGAAAGACACGTACGAAGAGACAGTGAAGGAGGCAGTAAAGCTGATCAACTCGCCTGACGTAAGTTCGAACATGTCCTCTCGAGCTCACGTCCTTCCACCCGAAGCACGAATGAACTTCCATGGGCGCTCAGATTCGAACCACGTGTATCAACGTATGCACAGTAGCTCATTTCTATCCACTGCACGTTGATCCACTACATATAGCAGTGTGCACGAAACCGCACCTCCGACGAACCTCGGCCCAATCATTCTACGGCGACATAGTTAACTCTGGGAGGTGAAGGTTTTGGGTTTTGGTTAAAACGTTAGGGAAATAGACAAAAGTGGGTATACCCACGCCATTCTCGGAAAAAAAGTGGGTACTCGAAAATCCAGCGCGCGCGCCCTCCATAGGCGACCCCCAAACGACTAAAAACCCCATTCTGACACCTGGGCGACACAGCCAGGGACCATACACAGCACGGGCATCGTTTGTTCCCCACTTTCAGGCACACCTTTGGCCCTAATACCGCAAAGGCGCGCAAGGACTCACCAGAGTGCCCACTTCTGTCCGACATCGCGGTGGGTATACCCAGCGGCGTCAACCAATTTTTTCTCGTACCCACTTGTGTCGGTATTTGGCCCACTTTTGTCCAAGTTGTATCCACTTTTGTACACTTACACGGACGGCGGAAATCGAGCGGGAATCGACCTCCACGTCACCGCACGGCAGAACATCGAATGGCCTCGGAACGTCTCAGAACCTCCTAACACCGTATCCATGGCCTATTTCCTGTCCATGGCTGCCGACTGCGGACCGACCACGGAGGAACATGTCAGAAACATGCCAGACCCCTTCGGTACCGGCACGGGAAGATACCCGCGGCAAGACCGGCAAGCACCGCACTAACGGCACGCCACAAATAAATGCGTGACACACAACGGACGACAAAACCAACGGGCACGCACACAGAACAAAAAGACGCGCATACAGCAACACACACACACACACACACGCGCGCCACACACACAAAAACACCAACCACCATAACGAGTGCACACCGAATCGTGAGGGCCGCAACACAGCATGTCGAGGCAGTTTACCACGCAACTACGTCATGCTAAAAAATAGGGTATTTATATGCACTACAGTATGTATATACGAAGTGAAAATCCGACCCGATATCCCGCGGTCGGTCCGCAGTCGGCAGCCATGGATAGGAAATAGGCCATGGGTACGGTGTTAGGAGGTTCTGAGACGTTCCGAGGCCATTCGATGTTCTGCCGTGCGGTGACGTGGAGGTCGATTCCCGCTCGATTTCCGCCGTCCTTAAGTGTATAAAAGTGGATACAATTTGGACGAAAGTGGGTCAAAATGCAGACACAAGTGGGTACGTGAAAAAAATTGTTGACGCCGCTGGGAATACCCACCGCGATGTCGGACAGAAGTGGGCACTCTGGTGAGGCCTTGCGCGCCTTTGCGGTATTAGGGCCAAAGGTGTGCCTGAAAGTGGGGAACAAACGATGCCCGTGCTGTGTATGGTCCCTGGCTGTGTCGCCCACAGGTGTCAGAATGGGGTTTTTAGTCGTTTGGGGGTCGCCTATGGAGGGCGCGCGCGCTGGATTTTCGAGTACCCACTTTTTTCCGAGAATGGCGTGGGTATACCCACTTTTGTCCATTTACCTTGAAAGTTATTTTGCTGGACTTCATTGACCTTTTTTTTGCCTTCGCGCGAGTTTGGGGCGCGTCCACTATGTGTCCGCGGACATGTACGATCAAATCTGTTCATTGAGACTGCCCACATAGCGCAGGAATTTGGCATTGAAGAGACGAGATCGATTCCCATGGCGCGAGTGTGTTTCAGCCGGAACGACAGAGACGGCTAGACACGCAACCGATGGGTGGAGTTTGAAAATCAACTGTGCCCATCCGCTGAACCTGCCATGAAACTCGTCTCTCCCTCTACTTCTTGGCAAACAAAACTTTAAGAACTCTCGTCCACTCAAGGACTCGACTTGACGCACCTACCTGCTCTGATTTTGTCCTTCTATTACACATCGATGGTCGCGTGTCTAACCCTAGCCCTTGTCCTATTCCACTCGCTCCTTTCCCGGCGTTGGTGGCGGTAGAACCCAGCCCCAGGCTCCGATAGCGACTCTGACGACGATACGCTCGAGGAGTGGGCGGAGAGCATGATGGCCAAGAAACCAACCAAGGTCCCGTATCGTGTCGTCTCATGCTATAAGATATCGTGCGTGCTAGTCCCAGGGAAACCGTAACCCCATACCACGATTGCGAGGAATCTGTTCAAATGAAAGAAAGGAAGCTGTTTTGAAGCCACAGAACCGTGGTTGGGTTGTACGGGCTGGAACCTCTTTGCCTGCGGGGGCGGGGGGCGGGGGGGGCTTAGGGTGCGCTTTCGTTTCAGGACTGTTCCTGCTTGAAACGACGACGTCCGCCGGCATGGTCTCATTAAACACGGAGGATGAAGGTAGCCAATTTTGACCAGTTTTGGCTGCTGTGGGTGCATTCGTAGTGGGCGACAGTCGACCTGTCTAAAAGGAGGGTGTTGACAAAATTGTCGTGCTGATCCTTCGTGGCAATTTGCGGAGGCGTGGGTTGCAGGGGAAATCTGTACGACAACATGAACGAACCACGTACCAAAGAACAACGCATGGCGCCTTCTATCCCCGTTTGGACCGCTGTGGACCCGATTTCTGGATAACAAGATGGTCGAATATCACCGCTCGGAGAAGTACAGGCCAGATCAGGGCTTCAGCGTGGTTGTGGCGGGGCTGACAAACATGAAGCCACCCGGCGCCTTCAAGTCGGCCAGGCTCTTCAAGGTGCGGGGCAGACTTCGTGGTTTAGAAAGCATGATTGAACTACAGCGGTGAACTACCAGGGCACGTGATCCAATTCAATCTGGATGGGTTTCACGAGGTCACGGAGTGTAGCATAAAAACATATTGCTCGACCTGCAACTGTCAAAACCTTCCTGCTGGTGGCCAGGATAGACCGAGGCCTGGCATACGGCAAAATCTGGACGCCCCACGCAATGGTAACGGTAACGACGAAGTCGTGGATATGGGGTTTATGTAGAAGAGATTAGTCTACTGCGCACCGCGGTAGAAAAAAATATGGAAGTCTGCATCGCTCTGAAGCCGGTGTGATTGGGCAGAGGGCACAGACTTTTGTACTCTGTCACTTCCTAGCAGAACGTTCACGAAAAACATGCAGAAGCCTGCCAGCGTAAGCAAGGTAGGACGCTGGGAGAAGGTTCTACAAAATGAAATGGAGTAATCAACCCAAGGGAGATGTTCAACCTGTCGACCAACTTCAATTGCAGGTAATCTACTCGCTGTTGATGCCGGGGCTGTTCTACATGGAAGACCCTCCCGCGTCAGATCAGGCAGAATTTACGCATACGTACGACCCCCGGTCGCCACAGGTGAGGGAGGCCGAAACATCAAACGCGAGGTCAAAGGAAGAGCACCGCGTGCTGGGAGACTCGAGGTTCTAAAACGCCGAAAACTTGTGTTCGGGCGCACCAAATCGCGCCTTGTTCCTCAGTATTGCGACCTTATTGCAGCAACAAGTAGGGTGGGAGGCCATCATGGGTTTAGCAAGGTTTTGATGAGGAGAAGCACGGGTTTTCAGAGTCACTACAGTAGTAGTTTCTCCGACTCTGAGGGATCCTTCATCTTGTTCGCCTCCTTGTAAGTTTCCCACCTCCGTAGTTGCCGCTGTGGGCGCCTCAATGGACCGTCTTCCAATGACGCATGTCGTGGATCTCACGCGTCCCAGCTGGCGCCTCGCTTCAAGGATCCTCCCCACGCTTTCAGGAATCAGCCCATCAACAGCAACCAGTTCATCATATTGGACGTTCGCTCCCTCAAGGTTGGTGGCTTATCCTACAGTCTACTAGCGTTCAAGAGATGTTTCGACGGCAGCGAATACTTGCGGAAAATGGCGACCGCGTACAATATTCCCAATAATTCTTGATTCAGACGCACACGATGGTGGCAGTGACTACAGCACACCACTTCCACCCATTCTGCTCACCTCGAGCTCGAAACACCCCCTTGTCTGCATGTTCTCACGCCACACCTGCTCAACATGTACGTCGACAGGTTGATGTGAAGGAAAACGCTGCAGTACCGGAAGAACCATGTGTCGCACCCGCCAGCGGCGCGTGGGGGCTTCTCCCCGTATTCTCTCCCGGAGACGTGGCCACTGGTATCTACGCGTGATACCCTGCATTAAGTCTGATTTCTAGGTAGAGTCTCGATGATTCTTAGTCTGGTATGACCCGCGTTCAGCCGCTGAACGCACACGCGATGGCACAATTGTAACACAACTATGTAAATGAGGAGCTGCAAACGTATGCACCCACGACACACGGCCAAAACCTTGAGCCAAGTACCATGTGCTTCGTCGAGAACCGGGGGTCAGTGAACACACGACACAGGAAGGGGTCCAGGCACCAGTGTACTTGGCGTAAGAAAATCGCGAGGCTGGTTTGATCTGGGCAATACTCGCATCTTCCCGGAGAAGCTATATCTTGCCCGTCTTACTTCGTTGCGATGCCCACGACACCCGCAAGGGAAAACGTTTGGAGCTTACCTTGGTGGTTGAGGCAGATATCATGCGGAATCCATGGGAAAGTACTACTGTAGCTTGCTGAGAGGATCAGATGCCACCAATTGGCTTTGATGTGTGCTCTGCGGTGAGCAGCAGGTGACTCGAACATCATCATCAAGTTGCGAGATTTGTTTTTTCCCCTGAGCCACTACCTTTCCTGTCGCAACCATTTTCCACCTCACGAAGCTGCGATTTAACCCTTCCCTACGCCAATGAACTGCATTGCACACATGTCCAGGATCGTTCATTGTGCCATTACTCTCCGGACCAGTCCCCGTCGAGATTATAAAGGCAGAAAACCCGTTGAAGATGATTACAGAGAAAGTCAAGGCCAAGCACCCCGGTTTCCGCGTCCTTGAAGGTATCACCGTACTTGGTTGCCTGGTTTTGGATACGTCGGCCTTTGTTCACCTTCGTCAAAAGGGTCTTGGATTCTTACAGCTGCGTGTGCTCGCCATCATCGCCTTGTATGGGGTAAACTGCGACCGGGCATACCAATCTTTTGAACTTCTGCTTGTCTCCCGGACCGTTTCCGGTGTTGTTTGTCCAGGCTCGTCGGTCGTGGTGCAGATTTGCAACGCACTGTTGGAAAATGTACTTCCTGCTGCTACGCAAGACCCTGCACTCAACTTCATTGGCGTGAAGCGCGTTACGGACGCCCTCGGAGTTCAGCAGGTTGGAACGAGCGTGCATATATTCACCCCCAGGCATGCGATGAATGTTCGTGGTCTGTCCACCTTGTCGGTAGTCTCTCTGACTCAGCCTCTCAAGCATGTCTTGTCTTGTGTTGAAACTGTTGTGGTAAACGCTTTGAACACGTGCACGTATCAACAGCATCTCGCGCGTAGGAGTGCCACAGCACGCGGAATCCCGGGGGGCGAGGACGATCTCCCAATACCCTCGTGTTTCGCCACCCTTGCCAAAAGTTCACGTTTTACCACTCCTGCCCCCTTAGATCAACACCTCGCAGATCCTGGTTCGGGGATACTCTCACTAACAGGGGCACTGCTTCTCTGGAACCTGCTGATCTCTCGCAGTTATCGGCATCTGAGAGATTTTCTTCATTCGAAATTCCCTTCAAATGTGTCCACCCAAGACCCCAATACTGCTGCCTTACGTGCCTTTTCCGACCGTTCGTTTGCCCGTCCGCGGTATTGTCGACGGCAATATGCCAATCTCCGTTGGGAACATCAACAGGAGAAGTACGTTTTCGACCACATCGCTGATGCCGGGCATAAGTCTGTGGGCAGGCTGGTACCGAAGAGCTTCAAGGGGGGGATAGAGGATTTCTTCACGTCCGCTAATGTCCGCTTCGCTACCGCGACGGGCATGCCGTTCGTCGCACGACCTGGAGAACTTCCCAAGGGTCGTTCATGAGCAAGTGTTATAATTAAATCAACGTTTGAAGGCAGTTTGATGCATGCTTGACAGTATGCCCATTCACCCCCATCCAACCTTCAATCGGACGGGTCGGATGCGCACTCAGGGGACGTGTTTGTGCAAGGTAGATTTTTTAGGCTAGGAACAGAGATAGATCGGCTCTACGTCCAACGGAGGGGAGAGTGAAAACGCCCTTGTTTGGTGGGAAGCGTCAGCCGGTAGAACGGTCAGGTTTGTCAAATAAACGTTGACGTTGACTCCGTGGCAGAACTGGCGAGGAAAGCTGCCCACAACAACATACAGTGTTCGATGCACCCAGGATACCTTGGGATACACGCCGACTGGCCTTGGAGTAGTACTGTAGGCCACGAGCTTCGAACTACGCCCCGGAAATACAAGGACGACGGTGACTTCGAAGTCCACCTGAGGTCCGATGAATGCTCTCTAACGAACAAAGCGCGCATCATTAGGTCCAGCGTACACAAAGTATACGTTGCTACTACTGTGCATACGGCCGCTCGACACTTCGCTACGTCCATTCACCAACGACGTCATCACCCTTGCTAGCTAACCTTGGGCGATAGACATCGTCCTACCCTGCCGTGGCTTTGTGCCTGCGCCGTTTGCTCGCGTGCTGCTATAAGTATGACCTTCATCATAGCCCAAGCTCGAACACGTGCATGGAGCTCATCGAGGTTTACCTGCTACCCACACGCCACAGGCGAACGCCCTCCACGGCGGATAACCACCACCACCACCACCACGGCCCTGAGTGTTAGGGGCTGCATCGGTGCACTGCCTAGAAAACAACGCCCTCCAGCGACTACGTTTGGTCGTCCTTCCGTCCGTCTGGAAGTCTCTCAAAGACGCTTGACCGCTGTTGACACAATTCCTAGCAGTGATGTGCCGCACCAGAGAGAGCACACGACCACCATGTTCCGCGTGAGCTGGTCTTTTGGTTTCAGTCCCTTGGGGATCTGGTTCCGGTTGCTTGTCAGCTCTCCATCTCGGGCATTGGAAGGCCCCGAACGAGCCTGTCGAGGGCAGCCTCGGCCACCTCGGCGAGGTCCGTCTTCCCCTTGGCCGTCAAAACCCGAGAGAAAACCAGCATCTTTTCCTTCGCCTGGGCTCCTCGCGCTCGCTCGATGGTGCGCACCTGTCCCACCCCGCGTGTGCGCGCACATAAATAGGGATGTGCCATGAAATAAGTCGTCGTCCTAGCAGTGCGCGCACGGGGCGGTGCCATGAAATAATTCGCTGTCGTAGCAGCCGGCCTCACTAGCAGCGCACAACACCGGTATATGCTCGTGGCGTGGATGAAGACAACCAACCCAGAACACCGGAGAGTAATAGTGGGCCGAAGGGTACAGCCCCGGACCGCAAATAGGTATGGGGGCTTTGTCAATAACGGCCGGCCTCGCTAGCAAAGCACAACACCAGTATGTGGTCGTGGCGTGGATGAAAACAGCCAACCCAGAACACAGGAGAGTAATAGTGGGTCGAAGGATATAACCCCGGACCGCAAATGGGTACAGGGGCTTTGTCAATAACGGCCGGCCTCGCTAGCAAAGCACAACACCGGGATGTGGTCGTGGCGTGGGTGAAGAAAACCAACCCCGAACACCGGGGAGTAGTAGTGGGTAGAAGGATGGGGGAGTTGTCAATACTCAGTTCCTGGGCCGCACTGGTGCGACTAGCGAATGAGGGGAAAGGTAGTTTGGAAAGCAGCAATGTGGGAACGGTTCGATGGAAACAAGATGTGGACAAACCTACCAACTGCAGATTGAGAACACGATTCGTCATAAACGTATCCCCCCACTTCGCCAGCCATCACCGGCGTCCACACACGTGCATGCGTGTGCTGCCGTGGACCGCTGCTGTGCACAAACGTACCCTTCGTGCGAGGCTGACATCGGACATCGTCCGCACGCGGTGAAGGCAGTGGTTGTAACTCGCTGTACCCGCCTTGGCTTCATCTCTGGCATCGATGTGACCTTTCAACACCTGCACAAACAACCGTGTCCGTGGGCGTTAAAAAAAATTGTTACCTCGAGGTTACAATTGGTCCGCAGCAATAGTCAGTGCACCTCGCCGAGTCTGAAGGCGATAGAAGGGTTCACCAACCACACACGAGCCTCCTTCTGCAGCCCAGTGGAGTGCATGCGGGGCGTGATTTTTCCCTCTCGTCTCTGACGTCGACCTTGAACAACCTCACCTCCATCCTCTCTTCGGCTTCTTCTGGATCCAGCTCCGGCCCGTAGTCGTGTCGAAACGACGAAGGTGCTCCTCCTGACGATAGAGAGCAGTACAGGCATGGGGGGGACAGTGTACACGACTAGAAGATATACCGTCTGGTTGAGACCATGCGAGAAAGCCGACACAGAGAGACTTCGGGCTGTGTTTACCCTTCGTGTGCAGAACAGGAAGGGCTACACACCACACAGCACCGCGAATCTGCATTAAAAAAAATCGTTTTTGTGCTTCGCCTCAGTTACGCGTTAATCCATGTTTTGCGACATGTTTCCGAAATGACACGTACTATCATTCAAGCTGGTGATCAGAAAATAACTTCTAACCGCAACGACGTGAAACCAGGACCGCACCCCCGTCTGGCCGACTCGCTTCGCACGTCCGGTCGTGCCAAAAATTTCTCCCCAATACTTCGTAGTTGGAGTGGAAAGGGTGGAGCCGATATAGGATGGCCCAAAGACGCCAACCGTCAGTACCGTAAAACTCGCGGGGCAGGTACTACGGTCCGGTGGTCCGTGCCATCTACAGTAGTACCTTGACCCGGTTGCGCTTGCGAGCGCTTTCCGGCTTCGGTTAACTTACGTGAAACCATCCCCGAGTCCTCAATGTAATTCAGGGTGTACACCCTGCACGTGTCCATGCCCGACTTCATTTCACCTCCCCTCCCTCTGGATAACCAGATCCGAAATCTCTCCTCCGGCTGTCAGTACTGGGGCAGCTCCTATGCGTAGCGAATGCGACGACCCCCGCTTGGGATCCCTCCCCGCTCTCTCGGCAATCTGGCGAACGGCCCTGTTGAAGCCGCTTGCCGATATTTCCACACATCAACCGAATCCCCGACCCTAAACGATAAATGGTCATTCATTCACATTGTGTTGCCAGTAGAACTGCCCCCCCCCCCCCCCCCCACATGGCTCTTTCCCTACCCGGCTTGGTAGTTGCACCCGCAAGGCTGGAGGTCCAAGTGCCAGGTAATGCCACCAATTCTTCGGGATCCGCCGCTTGGCTTCTTAGTCGCTTCGACGTTCGAGACGGTGCCGTTCTCGAGGCTGGGTCCCGTGGTCGCTTCGAGGGCGAGCGCTTCTTCGTCGCCGCTGCCGCTGTGGAAGGCGCTGTCTGTCCTTGCCGTTGAGGGCGAGGCGTGATTTTTGAGACCAAGTCAACAAATATTTGCAATCAGCATGGAAACATTGGGTGCGATTTCTGCGACTGGAGAGAGACGGTAAAAACACTTTGAGGTGTCTCGAGTGTCAAGTGCCACGTCTCGCAAAGAAGCACACCAAGGCGATATCGGCGCCCGAGGACAGAGTATCGCAACCACAGCAGTGGGCAGCAGACGGTCGAAAAATCGCATCGCCGCAAGGAACTAAGGAAATTTGCTTGTGACACCGGGACTACTGTCGGCTACGAATTCGCGAATGTTGCCCTCGCCCCGCCCTGCCCACCCAGAGGATCCATAATTTGGTAGGCAGTAAAACGTAAAAACGCGTCCAATTGATAAAAACTGCCTGTTGTTTTCGTTTGGTTCGCAGGAGCCTTGGTCGTCCACTCTTCCTCACCTAGGGGTATGATGCGGTACAGCAGCGTGGTGATGCCGTTCAGGACAGGTGGCATCCCACTGGCAATGCGGAGGGTCTGCCTGTGCATCCATTGGAGATGCAACAGCATTCTCATTGGAGATGCAACAGCATTCTTCAATGGAATGTCTACACGCTGTATCAACCATTTGGGCCGAGTATCCTGCACATCTGCAGTGCCGTGAGAGATGCTCTGCAAGAGTGTGCTCCGTGTACTCCTAATACTCACACTTCCAATACACAGCTGCCCACGCACCTACCTTTAGCGCACTGATGGACAACGTTGCCATAAACGCCTCATTCCGTTTGATTCGAGCTAGTCGAGCGAGCTCGTAATCGGAGACTTCAGCTTCGCCCTCCTTTGCCGTTGCATGATCTTGTTGCGGGCCGGGCCTTTTCGTCTTTCCACGCGCCATGTGGTGTGGGCGAGGCTAGCACAGCAGTGGAGCAAAAGAGGAGTAGAGATGTGGGCCGGGTGTGTGCTCAGAGTTGCCCAGTGTGCGGTTCAAAATTAAATCGGGGGTCACGCAACTTGGAATGGCACAGTATGTCCTTTCCCTCGCTCTGCCCCCCCCCGTCACCCTCACCGCACGCAAAAGACCAGTACACCAGATTCTTGGGACACTGCACTAGTAGCGTTGCCTATGACAGCTGATAGAGGCAGAGATACACTGCGAGCGTTTATCTAGAGCGTGAGGGAAGGGCGACCAGCTGCGGCATCGGCGTGCGAGGGGGAAGGAGAAGACTAAGACTGCTGTGGCTCAAGAAAATTCGCCGAGATTTTGCGTACCTCGCCAAGGCTAGCCTGTCGAGAGGGGGGCAATGTCGGAAGAAGTTGCCCTGGTCAATGAGGAGCTGGCGCAGAAGCAGCAGGCACTAGAAGCCCTTCAGCGAAACTTCGATGACTTCCAGGAGTCTAGCCGCGAGCTGGAAGAGGAGCTAGAAGCTGAGCTGGGCAGGGTGAGAGGAGCTTTGTTCGCTACTGCAGAGGTTGTCGAAAGCAGAGCAGGCAGCAGAGACGTTTTTTGTCTGTTTGAAAAAGGACCGTTGCTTCCTATCCGTCCGCACCGGCGTGCTCTGCAGCACGCAGCAGGCAGGCAGGCAGTAGCAGCAGCAGCAGCAGCAGCAACAGCAGAGAGAAGAATATCTTTCCGTCGTTGCCGTCGGCTACACCGAGCCGGCGATGTATGCCGATTACAGCTGGAACCGTTGGCCTGCGGACCACTGCCACAGCAGTTAACCTGATGCAGTTGGATTACTGTGCTATACTTACGAAGTGGAGATTTTCCAATACAAGGAAAGCCTTGAAAATTGAATGTGGGTGTGGGGGTTGTCAAGAGCGTAACCTCAGCGCAAACGCCCAGCATTTGTCGAGCTTTTTTTCTTGCAGCAGTACATATCTACATCCCGCGTTGTGCATTACTGCTTTAGATACCACCCCCCTCTTTTGTGTGCTCGAGTTGTCGTCGTCGCATGGTGCTCTGCTGCTGCAACCTTTGGCCAGACCCAAGACCAGGTGTCGGAGCTCACTAGCCGGCTAGCCGAGGTCGCGGAGCGCCTGGGCGAGCAGCAGGCCAAGAATCGGGCCATCAGTGGCGAGGCACGTGTCCAAGGGCAGAATAGCCATAGCATGCTGCAGCACGCACCCACGCTTTATTTACTGCTGTATTGCTGTATCATGATAGATACCAACGCCATTGAGCGTGATCGTTGGTGTTGTCGGTCAAAACTTTGATGCCGGTGCTTTTCTGTGTCCTTGCCGCAGACAGAACGGGCCCGCAATGTTTCGTTGAAGAACAGAGGCTAAATAATGTTCGCATGACAAAATAGGGTTGAGAAAAACAGCTCAGCGGTGGATCCTAGATGTAGGACAAAACTCTACAACCTGCTCTCGATGGTGGCGATGAAATTAGAAAACTTTGCCTCGACCCGAACATTTCGAATGTCCGCCCCCGTACAACACTTACACCTTACCTCTCATTAACCATGCCGTACCAATGCCCCGAAAGGTTTAACGTGATCGTTGTTGTCGGTCACTGGTGTCGTCGTCGTATACATGATTTTTGCTGTTTTTTTTTATTTTTTTGTGGGGGCAGGTGGCGGTAGCCCAGGCGGAGACGGCCCGGCTTAAGGCAGCCGCCGTTCGCGCGGCTGCGGAGAAGACCAGCCTGGAGCAAGCCGCTGACGAGCTCGAAGCCAAGTGCAGGGCGGCGATCGCAGCCGAGGAAGACTCGAGGTACAGCAGCAGTACAGCGGTACTTATCGTGCCTACCTTTTTGTTGTACGTGTCTTTGATTTCTAGCAAGGTGACCTGTTTTGGGGTTGTTGGCCTGTGATCAGCCACTCTACAGGCGCCCGCGTCGGTTGGACCAGTACGGATATTGGAAGGTACCTGAGCGGAGACAGGAACAGTTTGTTATGTGAAGACAACAACAACAACAACAACAACAACAACAACAACAACAACAACATAAACAACCTACCTCTGCGTGTCACCTTTTCGCTTGCGTGGAGACCATGTCCTTCGCTTTTAGTCTTGCTGGTTCTTCTGTTGGGTAAGACCATATGTACCGCTACATATGATTGCCGTGGCTGTTTCTCGAACGCGTAGTCTTTCCATCATTGTTGGCGCATTGTTGGCGCATCTTCTAACAATGATCGCGCCAACCACCGGAGAGCCTGATGGTTAAATATCTTCAGGCTGAAAATGTTCAACCACAGATCTTGGGCCGTTATGGCCGGTGCTCAACGAAAGGACATACCGTATATGACACAAGATAACACACCCCCTGGACCGATTTTCAAAGCTCGATTACTCCACGACGAACTCCACGACGAAGAGGATGCATAAACGAAACAATACATTTTCGAAAACCTCTCGACGAGACGGTTCCAACGCCGCCGTTTTCGGCGCTGTGACTCTTCCTGCTGTTGAGAAATCGAGCTTTGAAAATCGGCCCAGGGGGTGTGTTATCTTGTGTCATATACGGTAAGAAACGAGCCTTGGGCACAATGACGTTCTTTTGTAGTTGCGCGTTCTCTTCAGGCCTACAAAACAAATGCTTAGTTGCCATTTTTCTGGACGTCGGTCTCCTTTCGGTGCAATGCATTCGTTCTTACTTTTTCTCTTCTTGCTTCTCAACAAAGGTTAATCGGTACGACCGTAGAATACACCCATGGACAATGTTCAAGATAATTCGTCCGTGTTTCTTTCGCGAGAATGCAGTGTGTTCGTCGCATCCACGTTTATTTGCGTTCGTTGCAAGTCTTACACACCTCTCGGTGTATATATGTTGGACGTAGATGTCAGCCGGGTTCATCTAGAAGGAAAGTCACGAATAATTTTTTAAATCATGTTTGCTCCACGTTTCCTCCTGGAACTTTCCTCTTCGTTGTAATTTTTATTGCGAGGAGGCCTCAGCGGTCTCTTTCCCTCGTCGATCCTAGAGTCGCGGTATAAAACTTCTGTTCTTGAATGTGTGTCGCCTCCCTTTGTCTCGTAGATTGTGACGTCAGATGGCCCGTCGGAGATCTACCTTTGGGGAGTTTCCACGGCTTGTAGAGCCAGCGAGCATGCTGAACCCGCGTACAAGTACATCGGAGAATCTCCCTTGTAGTTTCTGTTTGGAATATTTATGTTTAGAACGACTGAGAGCATGCAGGTTAACCCGTTTGCTATGCTAGTGTATGTTGTTGTTGTTGTTGTTGTTGTTGTTGTTGTTGTTGTCTTCACATAAAAAACCGTTCCGTTCTCTCTGCCCAGTACCTTATTCTGTCCGTACTATTAATAGCCTAACACTTGACGGGGTCGATTCCCGTGGTCACAGGCTAACTTACCCAAAAAAGGTATACGAAAATAAAATGGACCCGAAGGGTCCGCAAGCCAATAAAAGTGAACGACAGATAGTACATGATGAATATGCGACACGAGGTCAGCAGCAACAGCACTACCAGATATATAGCAACAACACAACTTTTTCGGGAGTTTGCAGTCACCTGTGTTGCGTTCCTCCTGCGTTACCCTCGAAGATGCGTCAGTACAGAACATCACCGAAAGGTGTGTGGAGGCACACGTGCCAGAGCACGATATACACACACGATTGTTCATTGGTCAGCCGAGTACGACATACACTTACACGTCTTTCAATTGGTCAGCCGGTGAGCGCGGTCGATTCAAAGAACGCGCGCATGGTGGTGGTAACGTGTTTACGCTTTGCCTTTGTCGTGTCGACATCGGTCGGCGCATGCATCGCCAACACGCACGCTGTCAGCTGTGCGCAGCTTGCACATCGCAGGCGACGAACATAGACAAGACCCCGAAATACACCGGTGGGGTTCAACGGTCAGCAGCGGAAAGGCACTAGTGTTTTCGGCGTCGACTTCCGCAGCTGTGCCGACCTCACCATCTAACCGACCGCCTCTGCCGTTGATGGCAGGCATAAGCTGGACCTCGCCATCGAGGAGAAGATCTTCGTCTCGAACGACCTGGAAGACCTTAGGGCGGACACCCTGCGAACCGAGCGACAGCTGAGGTCCGACGTCGATGTGAGTAGTCGACTGCTGCCGTGACGCAGTGAACCTCTCTGTTTCATTGTTGTTGTAATTGACAGTGTCGGTGTCGGCTTAGGCTTGGGTCGGGGTTTTCGTCGCTCACGGCGAGCGTCCCGCGCAATCGGTTCGGTTCAACTCTCTTAACCCCCCCCCCCCTCCCGTGCCTACTATCTGTCTGGTCTGTCTCTATTCTCTCTCTCTCTCTCTCTCTCTCTCTCTCTCTCTCTCTCTCTCTCTCTCTCTCTCTCTCTCTCTTCTCTCTCTCTGTAACTGTCTCTGTCTGTCTGTCTGTCTGTCTGTCTGTCTGTCTGTCTCTATTCTCTCTCTCTCTCTCTCTCTCTCTCTCTCTCTCTCTCTCTCTCTCTCTCTCTCTCTTTTCTCTTTCTCTGTCTCTGTCTCTGTCTCTGTCTCTGTCTGTCTGTCCCTTTCTCTCTCTCTGCTCTCTCTCTCCGTGCACCCTCAGGACCTTCGACAAGAGCTCGGGCGGCTGCGCAGCAGCAGCAGCAGCAACAACAACAACAACAACAACGGCAGCGATGCGGGGAGCGGGGCAACCACCACCCGAACCCCTCCCGAGATGGCCCTCCGTAGACAGCTCTCATCCCTCTCAGACGCGACACTTTGCGCCGGCGGCCCTAACGCCAACGAAGACGCCGCCACCGTGATAGATGGAGACGAGTTGCTCTTGTCGGTGGAGGCCAGGCTGGAGACGGGTGCGGGTCTGGATGACGGGGCTGGGATCGCGGATGAACTCATCAAGGCGAGATGCAAGACCTGTTAGTTTCCGTCTGTGTCTCTGCCATTCACGGTGACTAAAAGGGTTGCGGGTTAATTCGACCACCCCCCAACTTTTTTTTTTCTTCTCATGGGTGTACAATATACGCTCATGGTTTTGGGTCATCGAAGTGATTCATCGGAACCCAGGCGAAAAGTACGATATGAGATCATGTGTTTTGTTTTGTTCTCCTTGCGTAGCGACCCCTGAAACCGCTTTCAAGAATCTCCGGAAATGTTCACCGCGCCCACCGACATCCCGGACTTCTTGGGCTTATCTTCTGATTTTCTTTTTTTGGTTGCCCGGTACCCCGCCGTCGCGTTTCACGATGCGTCCGGTCACCCAGGCGCTCGAGGAGGAGATCGAAGGCCTGAAGACGGAGCTCGTGCACGCCGAATCAGCTAACGATGAGCTTAACGTCGAGCTGCAGCTGCTGCAAGAGATGGAGCTGGCGAGGTGAGAAAGAAGGGTGCGCTCGGGTGCGGCGACGTTCTCGCGATTGGGTTCACGCCTCCCAGCCAGTTAGTCGTGCCGACTCTCTTGACAGTACCGGCGTTTTTTTCCTGCATTCCAGGCATATGTGCCGACTGCACGCGCTCCTGGGTTCTCTCGGCCACAAATCGCACAAAACCCGGTTGACATGCGGGTCGACTTTTGGTGACACAGCAGGGTGTACTGCTGTAGGCCCTCAAAGAGAGAGCGGAGGCCCCGAAGGGTCTCGTGTGCGCCGTTAATTTCGCGAGGGAACCTGCCATTACTGACACACCACACCGCACCGCCTGCTCCGTGCTCTATCCCGACCCCGGCACTGTCACAAACCCTGCGCGCATTCGTCTGACGTCGTGTCCCTGGCCAGGGGAACCGGCGGCACCGGGGGGTCCGCGGCTGGCGCTTCGTTGAACGGGGAGGGGGTGAGGGGTCCCAACGGAGGGGGCGAGCGGACGGAGTCTCCGCGTACGCTTGCGGAGCAGGTATGGTCGCGGATACCAACTCGAGAAAAATGAACAGAAAAGTTATTGTTTGTCTTTCGGATTGACGTGCGTGATATCATCGCTTTCGAGAACGGCGTGTAGGCGAGGTCTGTGCTTCATGTCCACCCCGGTTTTTCAAACGGCGGTGCAATTCCAATTCTAAATTGCCGTTGCACACTTCATCATCGTTTTTTTCCCACCATCGACAACGAGCTAAATTTTTTCTGCCGGATGTGTTATTGGACAACGAGGTAACTATTCGAATCGTGATTCGAGGGGATAGATAATGGCTGCGCCGGGTGAAGTCGGTTGTTGCCGTGGTTTCGGCTGGCAGCACGCCGCCGGGTGTCTGCCACCCGACCGAAAAAGAAAGCTTTTGTCCGCTGAGAAGCTCCAGTTCCGTGGGGCAGAAGCGCCTTTCGTCCCCGAAAAGAAGGGTCTGAGCTCGAACACTCCCGCAGCAGTGTGATTGGGGTGGTCAGAAGCACGACCGAGCTATCGCATGCACAACGCTGTACCGGGTCGTCTCGTCGATTCTGAGCTCGAACACTCCCGCAGCAGTGTGAATGGGGTGGTCAGAAGCACGACCGAGCTATCGCATGCACAACGCTGTACCGGGGTCGTCTCGTCGATGCCGTTTCCTTTTTGTGGAGTTCTCGGGCCTCTTTAGTCGGCGGGATGTTGGTGGGGAATCGCACGATTCCTCTGAAAAAGATCGTTCTCTATTTTGGTTGTTGCTGCTTTCGTGTCTTCCTCAGCGTGATTGTAGTGGGAAATTTCATGGCTCCTCTGCTAGCACACTTTCGTTCCTCCGTTTTCTCTTTGTCATGCTGGTTGGCCCCCCTTTTTGTTTCGGGCAGGCCACCCTGAAGCAAGACCTGGCGGATGCCATGGCGACCTGCGAGGAGCTGGATCAGACTGTCACAGACCTGACAGACGACCTACACGCCAAGGTGTGTATGCATCGACTCCGCGCTAGCCGGTTGGTGTTGCCAGCCTGTCACCGCCGGGATGGTGGATGGCTTTGGGGTCACCTTGTCGCTCCTCTCTTGTAGGTGCACGCCCCCGCAGTGCAGTTAACCCGCCGCACGAGACTGTCGGACTTTTCTCATGAATCGAGTCTCCGCCAGGCAACGAAGGAGAACCCGCCGCCATTAGAGCATCCGCTCTATTTGGTTACTCTGCCTTGTCGTCCGCTGAACGTGACCCCCCTCCTCCCTCTTCTCCGTAGGTATGGAATGCCTTTTGTGTGTCAGGACCAACAACGGCGCGTGTGGGAAACTCTCTCATTTGTATGTTTTTATTGTTTTTGTTTGTCAGGACCAGTAACGGCGCCTACGGTAAAAACCCTGTTCTCCGGATGTCTGTATTGCTTTTCTTCTGTGTCAGGACCAACAACGGCACGTATTAGAAACCCGGCTGGCCGAGCTAGAGGCGGAGCTTGGCAGCAAGACGCAGTCGCTCGAGGACCAGGTACGCGCCATCCACGTTCGGCTGCTATGTAGTTAGGCGTAGTGCAGCATTCGTTCCCGCCTTTCAAATGGGCCGCATTTGTCGAGGGCATTGGGCGTGCTATGTGAAAGAGAGACGGGTTTTCGTAACTCTAGCCCTACCCCCCAACCCACACCCGTAACCCAAGCTTACATGCGTCATTAACGCGGGAGGCGTATTCAACCCCCCCCCCCTCCCTGCCTATATTTTAAATCACGGGGCAACACAGTTATGAAAAACTCACGTCCTTAATGCGTGGGGGGTTTGTTGGCTTAACGCGAGAGTCTTTAAACTGGGGGAGGCGGTAGCCCTAGCTGTTGGTGCCCAACGGCAGGACGCGGTACGGCGGGGAGTGGAACCGTCCGGGCGGTTTCGCCCTCGTGTTTCAGTTCAGTCCTGTAGCTGTTGAGGAAGCCCTCTCCACTCCCTGGTCTCGTCTCGCGTGTTGTTGCTTCGGTTGGTTCAGGTGTTGGAGGCCAAGACGAACGCGTCGTCGCTCACGGCTAAGCTGGCGGACACGACGGCGGAGCTGCGCGCCTCCAACGGCCGCGTCGAGGACGTGACGGCTAAGGTGTGGTGGCTGGTGGCTGCCGTGGCGATTGCAAGCATCCACCTCACGAGTGCAGCATGCGATCTTTTTTGAAAGATATCTCATCTGTGTCTGCGATAGTTGCCCTTCGACGGGGCAGATAATATGGCCGCCCTAGCTCACCCCCCCCCCCCCCCCCCCCCCTCTCTCTTCCTGTTTCTCCGTTTCTCTGTCTCTCCCGCGCTCTCTCCCGCGCTCTCTCTGTGTTTGTCTCTCTCTCTTTCTCTCTCTCTGTATCTACCTCTCTGTATCTACCTCTCTGTTTCTCTCCCCCCATCGTTCCTTGACCCGGTGCTACAGGGCAAGGCGACACAGGAGCGCGAAGAAGTGCTGCAAGAAGAGGTGAGATAGCGTCGACGCTGGCGTTTTCGCGCGCCGTCCGTGATTTTGTTTGACAGCGTGATGGTACTGTCAGGTTGTGGAGAAACTAGGGCCGTGAAAACGGACAATGTCCCCGTGCTGTCATAGGATGCCTTCCCCCCGTGTGATCTTGGCTGATATGTCAAGTACCGCACCGAAAGGGAGGGTGTGTAGACTGGTACCAGAACCCATGGGGCGGAAACACATAGCCTCACGTATGCAGTGGTTGCAATCGCTCCACAAATGTGACATCGAGTATGCCGAAACTCATTTGTTCTTGGCTAGTGACCGGTAAATCCGGCGGTACTTACCTGTTGCGTTCCCGTTTTTCTTTCCTCTCACCCCTGACACCCATCAATGTGACACCTGTCTCTCTCTGTGTCTCGGGGTTTCTCCCCTCTTCTTCAATTGTTGGGCGATGATGTATCTCGTTATATCCCTTGTGCCTTTATCTAGAGGATGTTGAGACAATCACAGAATACAATCCGTTCGAAATAATACTCCCTAGTCGAAGGGTGTGTGAAATGAAGTAATCACAGTGAATGATTGTGTGGGAAAAAACCCTCTGGGTGCTGGGTTTAATATTGAAAACATCGTTTCAATCACCGAAAACCCCACCCGTTGGAGAAAAATTGATGCCCGAATCGAAAGGGATGCGTTGAATGAATCCTTCACGCCAGTGAGTGTGGAGAAGCACCCGCTGGGTGATGGGCTCATTTTCGTGTCCGTTTAGGCCCCATCTGCTCATGCTGGGCTTATGTTCGAGTCCGTTTAAGCCCATCTACTCATGCTGGGATTATTGCCGAAGTCAATCAAGTCACACATACAATAGTCGGAAGGGATGTGTTGAATGGTGTATTTACAGCATTGAGTGTGGAGAACGACCCGCTGGATGCTGAGCTTATTCTCGAGTCCGTTTACACCTAGATAGTCATGCTGGGCTTATGTTCGAGTCCGTCTAAGCCTATATATTCACTCTTCCTTTGTCTCCCGCGTGCTGCCGCAGGCGGCCTCTTTGCGAGAGCAGCTCTCCGAGCTCACCTCCACGGTCTCCGACATCTCCGACCAGCTGCGAGAACGGGAGGCCCAGCTGGAAGAGGCCCAGGCCACGGCGGAGGAGCTCCAGGCGGAGCTCTCGGGCCTCCAGAAGAGCGTGGAAACTCTTTCAGCGAAGCTAGCGGAGGACGGGGCCGCCAGAAAGCGGGCGGAAACAAGCGCCGCTGAGAGGGAAGAGCGCCTGCGCGGGGAGCTGCAGGAGGCGAAGGACAAGGCGGCGGCGGCGGCGGCGGAGGTGGCGGCGGCCGCTGCGGCGGCGAGCAGCGGGCCCTTGGAATCGCCCTCCCGCGGCCAGGACCCTGAGTTGACGGTGGTGGTCAGGTCAGACGGCGGCAAGACGACGTCGGAAGCGGCTGACGGAAGGAGCCAGAGAGAAGGGCAGAGCAGCGGAGAGCCCGCCGCCGGCCGAGGGAATGATAACAAGGCCTCCGGCACCGCCGCCGCCGGGGACAAGGAAGACGCGGTTGATATCGCCGCGACGGGCGAAAAGGAGGAGGCTGAAGCTGGCCGAGCTAACGAGAGCGAGCGAGAGCTGCAGGAACAGGTTGCGCGGCTGAAGATTGCCCTCGAGGAGGCTCAGAAGCGGGCCGGGGGTGGGGGCCCCGCGGCTGGTATCGACGGGAAGGAGTTGGCGGTGTCCTCGGCGCTGGAGAGCGGCGACGTGGACGGTGGGTTTTTGGTTTCTGCTGCTATTGCTGCTGCTGCTGCTGCTGCTGCTGCTGCTGCTGCTGCTGCTGGGTTGTGTGGCCTTCACGCGTTGCTTTGTGTCTCGTAGTCCACGCTGGCTGTGCCCTCCTCTAGTCTAGTCCAGACCCACGCGTGGAAGAACAATCTCTCGGTATCCAACCAAGAAGCGTGTCGCGGAATAGCGTCCAAACTGACGGGAGAGCGCCCCTCACAGTGCTCGGTTTTACGTATTTGCCGTTTTTTTACTTTTTTACGCCATTCCCTTTCCGATCCATTTCAGCCTTGGAGACGGAGCTGCGTAGCTTGACGCAGCTGTACAGCAAGGAGAGAGGCATGAACGCCTCCCTTCTCTCCAAGATTAGAGCTCTGCGGGGCAACATCGAGGTACGAACCGAGGAAAGGAATGCACTCGTACTGCTGTACATAGGCGTTGTCGGCATTGGTTGTTCTCCTCTTGTTGACAAACTCGACGTAGTTTACCGCTTCGTTCTGGGTGCGGGTGATGCAAGAGCGGCGTGGAACCTATGTCGGTTGTTTGAAACTGTAGCTGCATGGTGATCCCGGGCTAATTCAAGCATTTACCCCGTCGCCTGGATTATTAGTATTCAGTTGGTAGCTTGGGCAACGCCACTATGGCGTTTGGATGCGAGTCTCCGAATCTTGGCACAGTCACACGCGCTTGGAGTGTGTTTACATCTTCCGCCCAAACATGTGGAGAGATTGATCAGTTCATGGGTAAAAGCGAGCCGATTTAACGGTCGGTGAGGGTAGGGGAAGACCCAGTCCTTCTCGTGATATAACGACAAACCAAGCACCGCTAGAGCAAAGACAAAGGAGAAAGAAATGCTTTAGCTTGACCCCGACTGGCGCGCCCAAAACATGCCGAACGGTATGATTACCTGACATCCGGAACACACTCGCGGTCGATGCTAAAAGTACGCTTCTAGGCACACACGAGCCCACCCTGCCGGGGGAACCCATGAAGGCCGTGATCGCGGTTACTTGTCCCGCTATCAGATCGCTTTGATTGGTGAGCCGGCCGATTAGCTCCTGTCGATGCTGATGAAAGACACACACACAAACTCGTGCATTTTTTTGTCGTCTTTGGGCAGGTGATATGCCGCATCCGTCCACCGACGGCTGATGAAACGGCTTCCGGCGTTCCCATGGCCTTGGAGGCCTTGGGAGAAGGCGAGATAGGGGTTAAGACGTCCGGCCGTCACGGTGGGGGGGGTGGGGCATCGTCTTGGCGGTCGTTTGCGCTCGACAAAGCGCTTGGGCCGTCCACGACTCAAGAAGAAGTGTTCCGACAGGTGATAGTTAGTCTCCTCTCAAAGGCGCGGGGGGCTGTTTCATTCCACATGGATGGCGTTTTGTACCTGCACGGAAGGCGTGAATGCCCACATGGATCTAGAGTTTTTTCCGCATTGATGGCGTTGGTACCCACACGGATATGGCGTTTTTTCCCGCATGGATGGCATCTATCCACATGGACGGCGTTGAGACCCACATGGATGTCGTTTTCCCCACATGGATGGACACATGCAGCGGTGATACATACAAGGATGGCGTTGATACCCACATGGTTGGCATCTACCCACACGGATGGCCTCATGTACCCGCATAGATGGCGCTATTTCCCACATGGATGGCTTTTCACCCGCATGCAGTGGCTGCCTTTTCCCGCGATCGATGGTTATTTCCCGCGACGAGGTAGATTGATAGCCTACAACCATTGCTTGTGCGGGTGCTGTTCCATGGCTGGGTGCTCGGCAGGTGGAGCCGCTTGCGCTGTCGGCAGCGGACGGCATGAACGCGTGCATCTTCGCCTACGGCCAGACCGGCTCGGGCAAGACGCACACCATGATCGGAGACGCCAAGGGGGGCGAGATGGCCGGCATCAGCTACCGCACCATGAACAAGCTCTTCCAAGTCCTGGAGCTGAGGCAACGCCAGCAGGTGTGCACGCGTTTTTTGCGTTCACGGGATGGGAACGTGGTGGTTCATGCCTGGTGGAAGCTCCTTGGCATAATCTTTCTTTGTACGGCTTAGTCTGTTGAGATTGGGGTCCCTTTTTGTTTGCGTGAAACGTTTCGATTTTTAGGTAGAATTTTGCGGGGCAGTCCTTACGTTGACCTCTACTCTAGTAGTAGCATGCGTGAGCGTCGTCTCCGTAAGTCTGGATGCCAGTTTTTACACCCCTTGGTGATTTTTTCGGGCCACATCAGCCGAGGTGATGTGCCGAGGTGATGCGGGAGGAAGGCCACATGGCATCCAGTCGGGTATCATGCATTTGTCATCTTACATCCACCATACAGGTTCGATGAGGAATAAATTACTTGGGCCCCGCCCCAAATCATGTCTTCCCCTGTCTGTCTGTCTGTCTATCTGTCTGTCTGTCTGTCTGTCGGCCTGCCTGCCTGCCTGCTTGCCTGCCTGCCTGCCTGTCTCTTTCACTCTCTCTTCCTCCCTCCCTCTCTTTCTTTCTCTCCCTCCCTCTCCGTCTCTCTTTCCCTGGCCGTCTCTCTCTCCCTCCCTCTCCCTCCCTCTCCCTGCCCCTCTCCGTATCTGTCCCTCTCCCTCTCCCTCTCCCTCTCTCCCACCCCCCCGGACCCTTGCGCGCCTGCACACCCGCCTACACGACCAACAGCCCGACTACGTCTTCACGGTCAAGGTTGCCATGCTAGAGATATACAACGAAGACGTGCGAGATCTACTATCGGACCCGCTACCCTCGGGAAGTGGCGGTGGCGGCGGCGGCGGCGGCGGCGGCAGCAGCACCGGCGGGGATGGGGCGGTGGACGGGAGCAAGCTGGAAATCAGGCGTGACCAGGATGGCATGGTGCAGGTATGGCCGGTGGCGCGGCTGCTGATGCCCCTCATTTTTTTTCTGGGGAGGGGGGAGTGTACTCATAGTCGCGCATGCCGTAGTCGTTCGACCATCGACCTCGCATTCCTACAAAGCCGGGACGGAACACGCCGGGTTCTCACAGGACCAGGCTCTCACATCACCAAGGGCGAAGCGCAGAGGGGGGGGGTTGCGGTTGATTGGGGATTGATTTTCAGACGTGTGTTGGTTAGAGCGTTTTTCAGACGGGTGCGGACGTGGTTGTGTTTGGTGCGCGTTACCGTGACGGTAGCGTAGCGTTATTCGCTAGAGAGGAACGGCGGCAAAGTGGCAAAGTATTTGCCAGGTACACGCTTAGCATGGGTTGCACGTGTGGAGCACCACCCGTATAACCACACGAGCGATCGAGCCCGTTTCCAAATTTTAACTTTACGAGAAGTCACTTGGCCCCCGACAAACTTAAAAACGTGTAGATAGGTTTGTTGTCGGCTGCAAGAAATCGCAAGAAATCCAACCTGTATCCGCTGAGTGATTTGTTATCGGTTGCAATAAAATCGCCAGCAACAGCAGCGTAGAACCCACGACCTCCGCCCTCGCCCAGCACCATTCGCGGTATCTGAATCACCCCCATCCTCGCCCCGCTTCCCCGCCTTCGTGCACGACCTTCGATCATGATCTCCGATCATGATCTCCGATCATGATCTCCGACAGGTGCCGGGGCTAACCCAGGTGGAAGTTGCTAGCGCCAAAGAGGTGCTGACCTTGCTTGAGCGAGGCGGCGGCGCGAGGGCCGTCGCGGCCACGGGGGTCCACGACGACTCTAGCCGGAGTCACAGCGTGCTGCTGGCGGAGGTGGCGTGCAGGGCGGGCCCTGACGCGTTGCCGGCTACGGGGAGGCTTTTCTTAGGTGAGACTTCTAGGGGGAGTGGGTTCGTAAAGAGTAAAGAGCGTCAGGGAGAGTTTTGTCAGTTCCAGGTCCTACCATTTCACGATTAGAAATCAAAGGGGTTTTGATTGTTTATAGTTTCTTGATTTGAATGGCGAATTTTGTCGAAATAATACGTTTAGAACTTGGAGGAAAGGTGTGTCCGGACAGGGAAGATTTGCTTTGGTGGGGTTGTAGGAGGAAGGGGTACGTTTAGGGAGGAAGGGTGCCTATGAAGAGAGTTGCAGGGGGGCTTTTTATTTGGTGGGGCTTACAGGGAGGAAACGGGGGCTTATAGGGAGGAATGTTGCGTCTGAAGAGTTGACAGGGATGCTTTTCTTACGCGAGGCTTGTAGGCGGCAAGGGGTATGTATGTTTAGGGAGGAAAGGTGCCTGTGCGTAGAGTTACGGAGACGGTTTTCTTAGGTGGGAACTTTTATTTGGACCAACAGTACAGCTCACAGCTGCCCTTGTGAACCCGATTTCTTAAAATTGTGGACCGTAGAGACTCAGCTGGTCTCCCAGGTGCGGCCTCCCCAGTGTGTAAGGGTGGAGGCCGAGCCACGAACCCCCCATGGAGGTTTTAGGTGTAAAGATGAAGTTGTGTTTTGTTGAGGAGTGAATGGACGGCCGTGCGTTTGTAGAGAGTTCCAGGGAGGCAGCATTTGGGTCGGGTTTAGGAGGTAGCGGGTGTGATTGCAGAGGTGCGCTCCGGAGCGGGCCCGTGGGAGCACGGCAGCGTGATCAAGGTATTTTGCAGGACGAAAAAGAAAAGCTGCTAGCTGCCAGCGGTGACGTGTTCCATGCTCGAACGGCCCACAAAAAACAAGCCGACTTACGTTGTTGACTCGGAGAGCCCAGCGAACCACATAGACCAAAAAATTGTTTTGTCAGGGCCGTGTAGAAGCACAAGTTTGGAGGACTTTGGATAGGTGTCGTGGATGGCATGCGGCGGTCACTGATGGCGGCATTGGCCTGGCTCTAGAAGCCGAAGTGATGGCGGCGGTGTGATTTTGTGTCACCTGACGTGGTTGGCGTTCATTGTGGGTTGGCGGCGACGTTGCGAGAAGAGGGCACCGGGTCAACACCCGCAATGCGCGGTTGAAGACACCACGATGGTCCTGCGGTTTGACGACCCTGTCTGTCTCTCAAGTGAATTTTTCCACAATTTGTTTAATGTTTTGTCATGACTTCGCCCAACGTTGTTGATCAAGCCCCCCCCGGCGTAACCTAGTTTAGTTTCATTGGTTGCTATATATATTATTTTATTCTTTCGAAAGAGTTCGTGGGCTGACTACGCCATGAAAGTATGGCTAATACGAAGAAATATCCAGGGAGGGGGCACGCAGATCCTACCCCTAACCCCCACCCCATCGTAGCTGATTCTATTTTTTCCAGTATGTTTGGTTACTTAGAAAACCTTGGAATTCGTACCAGTATTCATTGATTGGTGCAGTTTATTTGTTTATTTATGAAGTATATGTTATTGTGCATATTTCGGTCATTAGTCGCTTGTTTACTCATTTATTCTTCCGTAAAGTCATTGATGGCCTTTTGTTTTGTTTTTCAGTCGACCTTGCCGGCAGCGAGCGGATCAAGGTGTCCGGCGTGACAGGAGTTGGCCTGCGAGAGGCCACCAACATCAACTCGAGCCTCAGCGCGCTTGGCGACGTGATGCAGGCGCTGGACCAGAAGCAGAAGCACGTGCCCTACAGGAACTCCAAGCTAACCTTCTTGCTGCAGGTACGGTGTCTTAGTGCGGCATATCTTGTATGCCTTTGGGTAGGATCAATTGTGAATGCCGAGGTCCACATCATTTTTTTTATCGGTCGTGTACGTTTCTTACTGTAGTACGTTTCTTGCTGTAGTACGTTTCGTACTGTAGTACGTTTGAGGAAAGTTAGAAATCGAACAGTTTTTTAGATATTCGTTTCTTCACTTGGTTTTAGAGTATCCCGTTCCCCTCTGGATGTACTTCATAGTGAGAGAAATATAAAAATGTTGCAATAGATTTCTTGGTGCACCCTTGGCGAAAGAAGGCGAAAAGATGCCACACGCGGGCGGCGACTGGCAGAGTGGATGATGCATGCATCTGTTCTTTGATGGGACCCTTTGAAGACGAAAATTACGTATAATAGCGGGCGGCGAGAATCTCATCGAAACAAGTATCCGTTCGACGTATCGGTTCGACGTGTGAATGATTAGGTGATGCATTTGGTCTCCCCATAACCCTTTTTTTTGTTCTCGCTGTCGTTGTTGCTGGCTCCTGCCCTTGTTGGGAAGCGGTGTAATATGTGCCGCTTGGCCACTATGGTGGTGCCCCGGGTCACACCAGCCTGCCGCCCATACAGTGAGACTCCCCCTCACCCAGTGGCAACCGTACGCACACAACATTATTCAACTGCTCGGATTACACACTCTCCAGACACCTTTCTATGGATACATATACCTCCCTACGGATCTCTCTCCGTGCTCTACCAAAACAACAGATTGTCCCAACACACCCTTGCCCGCATCCTTGCACGCTCTCCTTCTCTCTTTCTCAAGCCTACACTTTCCATCCATCCAGTCGTCTCCTCCTCCTTACAACCTTCCGTTTTTCCTGTCCTTTTGGTTTCCGTCTGCGCACGCCACCTTCACCATGCTGCCTCAGGACGCGCTTGGGGGTAACTCGCGGACGGCGATGGTGGTGACGGTTTGCCCCACGACCCTTAACGTGGACGAGACGCTCTTCGCGCTGCAGTTCGCGACGAGGGCGAGGAACATTAGCCTGGGACCGGCCCGCAAGAACGTCGGCGCTAAGAATCTTCTCGAGGAAGGGAAGGACCTCCGGGCGAAGCTTAGGGAGGCCGGCCGGAAGAAGGTGTCACGTGAAAGTTTCCCCGCATTTTTAGGGATCCCCGACACTTATGAATACTCTTCGCTTCAAGGATAAAAGGTCACGAAGCACTACTACGCTTCTTTAGGGATGCGAACTGTAAGGACATTCCCCGCTTTTAAGCTACCATAGCTTGTGGACACTCCCCTCGTTTGTATATTCCAATACTATTGGGCACCCTCCGCTTTATGGATAGGATACCAGCATTATGGACACTTCCCGCTTTAATGACAGTAAGGCACCCCGCTCAAGGCGTATCTAAGGGCACGCCCCGCTTTCAGGATACCAACATTGACAACACTTTCCCGCTTTGAGGACACCGAAATTAGTTGACAAGCTCCTTGACACGTCGATAGTGGGTGATTTCGGCGCTAATTTCGGTTGGCTTCGTCCTAATCCGTAACATGTTTCTGGCTGTCTTTGTTGCGTCGCTGCTGCCATGCTTCAGGAGCACGCGGAGGAGGCCTTGGCTACTCTCCAGAGAGAGCACGCCCGCTCGCAGCAGAAGATGGGGGCGCTTTTGGAGTCGCGGGTGAAGAACGTGGGCGACCTTCGGCAGCAGCTGGAGTACCAGATCAACTCCCTCAAGTCTCAGCTGGAAGCCTCACAGGTGGCAAGACAGACAGCTATTATACTACATACAGCAGTCAAACAAATTTGGGACATGTTCGCCCAGCGCGAAGGATGGGTTATAGAGGCGCTATCTTTGGCTGCGATGTGCTGCGGTGTTGTCTTCACTAGGCGCTTGGCGAGGGGTGCATATACCGCTAGATTCACGCAATCTGAGCGACGAGTCGTTTCGGGAGCGTGGGGTACAGACTGTGTTCTCAGTCTGTGGCTAGCTGTTGCTGAACTACCGTCGGCCGACTTCTTCTGTCTAGGCCCGGAGGGTTGTCAGAACTGAGGAGCGGTGCACCTTCGTTCGGAGTGTGAAAGAAAGACTGAGAGCAAGGGCGCCAATGCGGTGCCACGGGCGCGCACGCCAATGAGCTGCGTGCTGGCCGCCCAGCATGTTTTTTTTTTTTTCGTGTGGGGGTCGGATGATGATGTCTCGCTCTGGTTGGGGCGGAGGGAGTTGACGGTGCTCTGCCTTGCCCGACGGGCTCGCTCGATTCACCCACATGCATCATGTGTGCCTTTGGTGCCTGTAGGCTACCGTGCTAGCGGAGAGGAGCAAGCGGGCGGCCCTTCAGGCGGAGACGGAAGATAGCCAGCGCCAGCTCAAGCGCTCGATGGCCAAAGTCACCGCTCTCGGCAGGGACCGCGAGGAGCGAGAGGCCAAGCTTCGCGCCAAGCAGGTGGTTGTTGTTGTTGCTAGTGTTGTCATAAGTTTCACATTGAAAACCGTTCCGGTCTCTGCCCACGCGGACGCCTTCCGCGGTCGCAGGCCAAGCACCCCAGAAATCGTCGCAGGTACACGTGTTTTCACCCCTTCCCCAAGAACCCGGCGTGCTCCGTCCCGGCTTTGTAGGGATGCGAGGTCAATAGCCTAACGACTACGGCATGCACGACCATGAGTACCCCCCCCCCCCCCCCTAGCACGGATTATGTTGCCACGTTCGGGAAAATATGAAGGACCGATTGGCCATCATCGGTGGTCGGTCCTGTGGGAACAATGCTCCGTCCTCTCGAGGACGCGTGGTCACCAGTGTAACCACTCCAGCATGCAAAACATGAGGAACCCCCCGAGTACGAGTTGCGCAATTTGCGGGCCCTCTTGAGGGCCACCATCGCTGCCAGCGTTTATTTAGCCCACGTCGGTCTCGGACTCTCCCTGGCTGTCGTATTAGCTTCTCGTGCGTTCATTGCTTGCCGGGCTACGTATGGCCGCCTTTGTTGACATGTACCCCCCCTCCAATGGGCGAGGCTCGACCCTTACACGAAGTTCTCGCTGTACTTATCATCCCGACTTAAACCCAGCCATCCCGGATGGCAGTCGATGGCTTTTTAGGTCAAGGGGTGAGCGATTGCTCAAGTTCGGTTAGCTACCCTTGGAGGCCGTTCCCGCGCCCCGGCACACATGGCTCGAACCCTCCGCACGCGGTAATGAACCACCCTTTGTTTGTTTTTTTGTTTTTCGCAGGAGGAGGTGGGAGAACTCAAGGCGGAGCTCAGAAAAGCGGTGGCGGACGCCAAGAACGCCGAACGGCGGATAAATGTCGGCGGCGGCCGCGGCGGCGGCGGCGGCGGCGGCGGCGGAGGCAGCGGCGTGTCCTTCGGGTTCAAGCCCAAGGGCGGGGACAGTGGCAGTCTGGCCCCTGGGAAGGGGTCGCCCCACACCCCGTCCAGGAAACTATCAGAGGCCAAGTATCGGTGAGAGAGCTTTTGTTTTTTTGTCGAAATACAAGTGATGGCGTTCGGAGTGGGGTCGTGAGATACTGTGCTAATAAAGGGGTGACGCAAGATGACGATAAGAGCAGGCAGCAGGACCAGCCCAAGGCAGCAGGACCAGTTGTGACGTTTCCTCAGCTCAACAGCTGACACAGCTGACGTGCTTTGGACTGGAAGACACCGGCGAACCTCATCGAACCAAAATAATGTGTATATGTTCGAATTTGTAAGCCGTCTTCATTATACTGCGTACCACATAACGTCAAGTACGACCCATTCGAGATGTTTCGCCGTTCGAAGGGTAATAATAATAGGTCTTGACAGCAGTGAGAGTTGAAAGACAAGACACTGCTGCATGATACCCTGGACTTGGGGGGTTATTGGAGTCTGAGATATCAGTGATGCCAGCCGGAACAAAAAGTTCTGCCATCCATTGTACCTGGCGTGCTCGTTGATTGGTTGTGATACATCTATCGGAGGGAGTTTCATGTGCGGCAAGACGTAAAACGTTTGCCTCGGTCGGGGCGCCGGGACGTGAGCCAGCGAACTCTTGTACGAAGCGGGGCGGGGCACCTTGAGACATGCATCCCCGGTTGGCACCCCTGCCATGCCATATGCCATTGTTTGCTGTCGCTGGCGTTTTCTTTTCGTTGCTCGGCGTCTCCTGCATTGTATCTATCTGCACTTTACATGCGCGTGGACAATCAACAACGAACATCGTCACTCTACTGTATCCGTCACGCAACACCTGGTCTAAATTTAGTATATTCACGATGTCTTGACCTCCACCAGGTGGTTGCTACAGGTAGCGTGTTTTGTGGACAACTACCGAGCAACATCGGACGCCTGATTTTTCCGTCACGCAAGTTCTAATATTTGTTTCCCTTCAAAAATGTGTCTCCCCGTTGGACCAGTTACGGACACTAGAAGGTACTGAGCAGAGACCGGAACGTTTTTTTTTGTGTGTGAAGACAACAACCCCCCCCCCCCCCCCCCCCCCCCCCCCCTTG